TGCTGCTCACCGTGCCGAAACCTGTAGCAATTTGCAGTGGCAGATTCCCAGAAGTATAATAAGAGCTAACACTGCACTGGACAATCTGTCTTGCGGATGCAGTGTTGATCAGAAGTCCTTTCATTTTTGGGAGGAGAATTTCAAATTTTATTAGAGGTCTTCATGTTCCTTATTAATGGATCTCTGCAGTTGGCCCTCCCGGGATTTCTGCCAGGGAGCTGTGAAATTGGTCGGGTTGGACAATAAGCTCCTATAGCTATTGTTGGCGTGCGCTGAGCTGCACATGGCAGGGCTAATGGAATCTGTAGCAGTTACAACCATGAATATGTAGCTGGCAGCGGGCAGGCTGTAGAGCCGTGGGGAGAAAGCTGGCGTACAGATCTGAGAGCCAGAATGCAGCTGCGGAGCCCTCTGCAGTGTGTCTGTCTTTTCGTCTCTCTGAATCTGATCCCGCAAGATGCCAGCCTCCTTGGAGGGGAGGGGAGAGGTGGGACGAAATGCCTCCCTTCTCACTCATTTCCAGCGCTGCCGAAATTACTCACTCGTGATAGGATGGGCGGGTGATTTGAGGCGGGAGCATCAGACTGCGCTGCTGCATCTGCCCGGTAACACCCCAGACATAAAGAGCCGCGGATCAGGCTCCACTCTGCGAATGTTGCATTAACATTTAGGTGCCAGGCAGGGCAGCGGTGTCCGATGGAGGAGAGACGCAGTTTTTCTAGTGCACCGACAAATGTGAGAGTCTGCCGACCATACCTGGAAAGTGGAAGTTGAGAAGTCAGAGTACTCTGTGTGTTTTTAGGATTTGCGATCAAAGGAGCCTTTTGACAATAAGTGACTGGTTTAATTGAATATCCCTGAAGTTGGAAGCTGACGACTGCCCCCCTGAGTGCTTCTTGCGCCGGTCCTTCCTTCTGGTTCCACGTGATGGTGTGAGCTTGCTGGCAGCTGCAGAAAGGTCAAGGACCAGAGGAGGATGAGGGACCAGATTTTTGTAGGAGGTTTAGAGACCCAAAAAAGGATGTTAGCTGCACCATGGAACAGAGAAGGTACTTGATTTCTCAGGGCAGTGAAAGTGCCACCATTTGCATAGCCAGGTGCTGCTGTGGTTTGTGGTTCTGGCCCCAACTTCCCTGCACCCCAGGACTCAGTCCTGAGTGGTGGGACACAGCATATCGCTGTGTTTGGACGCTTGTGTTGCTGGTTTTACCTTTGCTGCAGTGAACTCCAGAAAAATAAAGGAGGTCAGCATCTGAAGCTATAACCCAATATCCACTCCTGTGCTTTAAATTTATTAGATGAATTAAGTAGAAAAATGCTGTTTTGAGAAACACGGGGAGATTTAAAGTACTTTGCAAAGAGACACTGGAATTTTGCATGAAAATGCACATCCCGAGCTGCAGTGAGCAATCCCTCTGGGACCAGAGCAAGCCCAGATGGTGACTCCTTCAAGCGATTATTTTTCTGCCTTAAGCCTTTCCAGGAATTTGTGTGTGGGCAGACTGCCAGCGGACACTGGTTGTCCAGACAGTTTAGCAATGTTTCATGTGTACTCACTGCCAGAGATACCAAAGTCCAGCTGCTCTCCCTGATCTCTTTGTCCCTTTTACCTTCCCAGCCATAATTACACATGCCTGCACGCACGCACGCACTTGTGACACACACAGGAGCAAAAAAATCACCTGGTGTTTCCTACTCGTTTGCATATCTTACAAATCGTGACTGACAGCTCTAAAGTTAAAGGAAAGCTCCAGAGCTGGAAAAATGTCTTGAGCCAAAAAAAAAAAAGGAGCATCCAAATAACAAACCCTGCGGCACACCACAGAAGGCAGGCATTCATCTTTCTAGGACAGCCAGTAAAAAACTGTTTAACCAGGTCTTGTACCTCTTGCCTTTGAGACATTCTTGTTTGGGTTGTCTCCCTTTCATTGCTTCTCAAGCAAAATCAGTCCTGTCTTATCTCTACTGTTGCTGGAACTTGAATTATGCTGAAAGGTCTTTTAGGTCTTGAAGTAGAAGTAGGCTGTTTAATGCTGCATATTTGCATTTTTTGCAAATCCAATCCTATGTCTGTTAAGAGTTCAAAGTCTCACTGTGAAATGCTTGGGCTTGGAAAAGTGGGGCAGTATTCACTGCTCTATGCTGTCTCATCCCTTGTCTCCATTAAATGTATTCATTCCTCCTGTGCTCTCCAGAAGATTTTGGGGAGCCCTTTTATTATTGGTAAAGATGAAGTCAGCCATCTGAAGGATTTATACAAAAACTAAAATGCACAACCCAAAGGAGTATTTGGTATTTTTGAAGGATGTTAGCTTTGACATTGGAGGCCACCCAAACCTCACTGGTTCAATGCTATTTAGAAGAATAAAATCTTTGCTTCAGCTCCTGCATAATGAAACTTCACCCCATTTCACAGAACTTCACAGTATACTACTTTAGATGAAGAACAAATGCAGATGCCTCAAACTTCTGGAACCACTGGTTTTGGAAGCCTGGTTTACCCATCACAGCAAAAGAGCCTGTCCCTATTCAATCCCATGTACAAGGTCCCTGCTCTGTTGCAGGCAGAGAAGCCAGCCCTCTGCCTCCCTGTGGGAGTGTATTTCAGTTCTGGATTTGCAGCTCATGTTCCAGAAGAGATTGGAGGATGGTCCAAGCCCAGCACAAGCTCCTTGTCGAACGGGGAGCAGGAAGAGCACCCCATGCTGAGGACATTCCCCCTGGGCAGCTGCCTGGGCCAGGATCTGCTGACTTACCTACCCAAGCTGACTGCCCGGGGCAGAAGGCTACAGAGAGCTAAAGTTAACCAAGGATGACTGCGCAAATGTGAGCTCGGCAGTTTTATTTTTAGTCGAACTTAAAAAGAAAAATCTGTAAGTCATGTGTAATATAATAATTTTAGCTGTTGCCAAGACACGCTGAGCAACTGTTAGGAGGAGGGGAAGGCCCGTGCTGATCTAGCAGGGACCCTGTCTCCTGGCTGTTCTCGTCGCCGCAGTCGCGGTGCTGAGGTGATGGCGCTGACAGACCAGGGCAGGTCAGGATAGTGCCTGGGCTGCTGCACTCTGGGTGTCATCGGGCCATCTGAAGCTGCCCCGAGTTCTTTCATTCTCCCTATTTCCTGAAAGCCAGGGAATCTACCCTGAAGCAGTGCTTTACTCCCTCTCCCTCAGCTCTAGCTATTGGTGTTTCATTACTGTTTATCAATATTTAAAGAATGGAATAATTAACTTAAGACTGATTATATCAAACCTTTAGTAGGTTTGGACTTTTCCTGCAGGCTTAAAGCAACTTGGAGGACCATAAACGTAAAGAGTGCTTTTAAAGATAGGTTTAATCTGAGTCTAGTGTGTCTTCAAAGTACTTCAAACACATATAAACATCAGGCTTATTGTTCATTAGAAGTGAGGCAGCAGGGAAAGAAATCCCCCAAAGGAATATTACTTGCCATAAGATAAGTATCATTACTGCTGCTCAGCATTCCCTTTAAAGTGGGCTATATCCTATTTCCATCTTCTTTCACATCCACTCTTAATTCTTTCTCTCTATTCTTCTTACATGTAATGCATGCTTTTTTTGTTGAGCTGCTGTTCATGCAGTTCATGCTGTTCACGTGAGGTGCGCGGTTTCTCATTCTCATTACCCATTCTTGCACAACTTTCAAAACAGCCAGAAATACAGATGACAGGTAGTGGCTGGACAGGGGCTGAGGAAGGGTTTCACTCTCCACAAGGGTTGATTACTCAATGCAAGGTAGGTTTCAGGAAGAGAGTAAATGTGTTTTAGTTACAATATTTTCTTTAAAAGGTAATAGAAGACTTAGGAAGGCTTTGTTGCCTTTGGATGAAATAGGTGATGCAGAGAAAAGCAACTTACTTTCTCCAATAGCAAAATCAGCCCAATATAAAACTGTGAGTTTTTGCAGTGGTGGGGGCTCATGATTTGGATCAGGAAGCTCAAACATGGTTTTCTGAGCAGATCTGGGCAGGCGTCCCCAAGGCTGAGTAGTTTGCTCAGTGATTGGACCTGTGGCCATGGCTGTGAGTGTGGTACCCACAGCCTTTCTGGTGCAGCAGTGGCTAAGAAACAGTGGGGTTGGATCCTGTCAGAGATCCGATATGGTGCCAGCACCTGCTCTGGCCTACCTGCATGTGGCTGAGGGCTCCTCCCAGCAAAGTCCTGCATGGACACCTGAATGTGAGGCATCAGTAGCAGAGGGAGTTAGTTCAAAGCACTGGGTCAAAAAATCCCCACCAGATATCAAAAACCTGGCTCAGATCCATCCCTGGCTCTGGGCTGCTGCTGTAAATAGCTCCCGTGGCTGAGGTTCATTGCCAGACTGGGAGATGAAGCACACGTGTCCCTGTAATGAGCTGTGGTGTGGAGCGGAGACAGGAGGCAGCTGCTGCCTCCACAGCCCTGCGTGGTGTCACGTGAAGTTGCCCTGCCAGTGTCTCTGGGGTTCAGGGGTTTAGGAGTGACCCACCACCATCCTTCTGTACCACTCACAGTGACTTGTTGCTAACAATAATTTTTGTGTGTGCCTGTTCCTCAGGGCTTCCTGCTGTGCTCCCATGCTTTTTTAGGGCATGTTAGGGTGAAGGCAGTGTCATCATTGCAGGGGAAGAAGAGGCTGGAAAAACGAAACAGGCACCATAGAGACATGGAGGGTTTTTGCAGGGGGAGGAGAATGGGCCTTGGGAAATAAATGAATGACTGCTACTAAATGTGCCAAGTTATGGCCAGGTTGTTTCTGATATGCCTAAATTTTTAAATGTTTTCCTGATGTATTAGCAGACATGCCCAGGATTTTTCTGCTGTTTACAGCATAGCTAGCTGTCAACTGTTCCTTGACGTGAGAGTGGCAATGACTGACCATTTTTCTTTTTTTTCCAGAGGTCTTTTTCCTGTTTGCTGATTTAGGGTATCTGCTTATTTGTTTTCATTTCTCATTGCTGACGATATAACTCCCGTCTCCCTTGCCCACCCTTTCGTTGCAGAATCCAGAGGAGCTGTCGGAGGATCGTGCTCACAGGGAGATGATTCCTCATGAAGTCACTGGATCCCCTGCAGAAATCAAATGTGACTTTCCATTTATCAGACTGAAATCAGAACCAGCCAGACAGTGAAGCAAGCACAGTGGAGGGGGGACGGCGAAAGATGAAATCCAACCAAGAGCGGAGCAATGAATGCCTGCCGCCTAAGAAGCGAGAAATCCCTGCCACCAGCCTGCCTTCGGAGGTGAAGCCGGTCCTGCCAAACGAAAACCACCGTGCAGATAACCTGGCATGGCTCCCCAGCACACCCAGTGGCCAGGGCAGCCTGGGGGGCCGGCACCGGCCCGGGGGCACCTCCTCGGTGGAGGCAGGCTTGCAGCAGGGTTTGCACAAGTCACTGTCTGCAGGGCTGGACTATTCCCCGCCGAGTGCGCCCAGGTCCGTTCCAGCCTCTACCACTCTTCCCACGGTGTACTCGCCCGCCCTCTCCCAGTCAGGGACCCCCGTTTCCCCCGTGCAGTACACTCACCTGCAGCACACCTTCCAGTTCGTCGGGCCCCAGTACAGTGGATCGTACACCGGGTTCATCCCCTCGCAGCTGATTTCCCCAACAGCCAATTCTGCGACTGGCGCCGTGGCGGCGGCCACAGCTGTTGCGACCACTCCATCCCAGCGTTCCCAGCTGGAGGCTTATTCCACTTTGCTGGCCAGCATGAGCGGCTTAAGCCAGCAGGGGCACAAAGTTGAGCCGCACCTGGTCAGGACGCCTGGACTGATTGCTGCTGGGTCTCCTCCACCCACCCAGCAGAACCAGTACGTCCACATTTCCAGCTCTTCCCAGAGCACTGTCAGAAATGTCTCTCCTCCAACCATCCCTGTCCCCCTTCACCCACATCAGACAGTGATCCCGCACACCCTCACCCTCGGCCCTTCCTCCCAAGTGGTGGTGCAGTACACTGACTCGGGGGGCCACTTTGTCACCAGGGATCCCCCCAAGAAACCCGAGAGCAGCCGGCTGCAGGCGATGCAGGCCAAGGAGGTACTGAATGGCGAGATAGAGAAGAGCCGAAGGTACGGCATTTCGCCTTCTGCCGACATGGGTCTAGTCAAAGCAGGCAATAAACCAGCTCCCCATCATTATGAGACCAGGCACGTGGTGGTCCACTCGAGCCCCGCCGAGTACGGCGTGCGGGATTCCTCAGGTGTCCGTGCCTCTGTCATGGTGGTCCCCAACAGCAGCACGCCCACGGCAGACATGGAGGTGCAGCAGGCCGCCAACCGTGAGACCTCTCCTTCAGCCCTCAACGACAAGGGAAGTTTGCACTTAGGAAAGCCGACCCACCGGTCCTATGCCTTGTCTCCGCAGCAGGCTCTGGGCCACGAGGGGGTGAAGGCGGTGGCCACGCTGTCCCCTCACACCGTCATTCAGACCACCCACAGCGCCTCCGAGCAGCTCCCTGTGGGGCTGCCGGCGACAGCTTTCTACACTGGGACCCAGCCGCCGGTGATCGGCTACCTGAGTGGCCAGCAGCAAGCCATCGGCTACCCCAGCAGCCTGCCGCAGCACCTGGTGATCCCGGGCACCCAGTCCCTGCTGATACCGGTCGGCAGCGCGGACGTCGAGCCGTCGGGAGTCACGCCTGCGATCGTCACGTCGTCTCCTCAGTTTGCAGCAGTGCCTCACACGTTCGTCACCACCGCCGTCCCCAAGAGCGAGAACTTCAGCGCGGAGCCCCTCACCACCCAGCCTGCCTACCAGGCCACCATGGTGCAGGCGCAGATCCACCTGCCCGTGGTGCAGTCCATTGCCTCCCCCGCCGCCGCGCCCCCCACGCTGCCCCCTTACTTCATGAAGGGGTCGATCATCCAGCTGGCCAACGGGGAGCTGAAGAAAGTAGAGGACTTGAAAACAGAAGACTTCATACAGAGTGCGGAAATTAGCAACGACCTGAAAATAGACTCCAGCACTGTGGAGAGGATCGAAGACAGCCATAGCCCAGGCATCGCCATCATACAGTTTGCGGTGGGGGAGCATCGAGCACAGGTAATGGCAACGCGTGATGGGCTGGGGGGGTTGGACTGGGATGCATGCTGTGGCCCCCCAGGCCACATCACAGCTCACTTGCTTTGGATCCACTCGGATTCTTCATCCATCTGTAGATGGTTCTTCATCCAAACTGTAGACCACAAATCATCCACCTGGCTGAGCTGGGGGAGCCATCAGGTCACACTGGTGATAAATGTAAACTCTTGGATATAATACGGGTCTGGAGAACTCACAGGAAGACTTATATGATTTTTGTGGGTTTTGATTAAAATACCAGATAGTATAAGGGGTATGAAGGGTTACATTTTTCATTTTGATAGGTGATTTTTACTATTCACACCAGAAAGGTTGTGATAGAATCAGATCAAAACCTACTCTAAAAAGATAGGTAGGGCACAAGGCAGTGAATTTCCATGCCTTGAAAACTTGGAGCTGCCTGGGAATGGTTCTCATGCACATAAGTTACTGAAATGCACTACAGAGTTTTACTGAGGCTTCACTTGAAGGTGGTTTTAACATTGCATGGCTCATGTAAACTCTGTGGTCAAGTGCAATTTGGAAGGAAAAACCGCCTAGGTGTCTGGGTAGGCTGTGCTTCTGACATTTGTTTCTCTGTTTGCAAAGCAGGAAGAAAAACCTGTAACTTTCCAGAGGTGTTTTTAGGTTGAGAACGAGTGCATATTGATTTTAAAGCATTACCCTGATGCTGTCCATTTTCTTTCTGAGCAATTTAGATTCTGTTGGTTGATGCTGTAAAGCGTAGCGTTTGGCTTCCTGGAGGTACTCGGTTTAGATAATCCTGTTGCAAATCTTTTTGTTTTGGTGCGAGTGCTGTGAACTCCATCTGCAGCTCTGATGCTGCAGCCTCAGTGCTGGAAAAACAGAGTGAGAGAGAGGGAGAATGAGAGGAACTGGACACAGACACAGGTAGTAACACACCTCAGGCTGATGGTTTGAAGGCAAAAAGCAGATGGTGATGGTACTGAGAAGTGGATCACACAGAAAATTTTTTACAGTCTCAGCATCCTGTGGCCTGTCCTTCCCCAAGTGTATATACATGGTAAATCACTACATGTGACATGTCCTCCTTTTCAAGTCAAACAGGAAGATTCCCTGTGTGGATTCATTCACGTAGGTGCTTGCATCTGCACAGCTGATTGAAGTCGAGCCTCTGGTGCTTTCAGTGTAGAGACTCGATTTTTTCCCCCCGCTGCTTAATTGTATTTTGGTGCATCTCAGGTGTCACGGTTAGAGGAACTGTCCTTGGATCATGACCAGTTACTATAATTTGCTGTGGTGCCTTGAATAATGAGATTTCAAAACTAGCAATCTCTACTCTGCAATTTTCATCTTGCTCACATTTCTCTGCCTGCAGCCTGGCTATCGGTGTCTGCACAGCAGAAGAGGTACAAATGAGCAGGTAGCGTTTGTGTCATGTCTCGGTCACAGCACTGTCAAGGCAGGCAATGGGCTGCAGTCCTGGGAAGAGCTGCGCTTTTGCAGGGGGTGGAGTGCCATCCTCTGGCAGAAAGGGAGCGAGTCCGAGGCTGCACAAATCCACGGCCTGGCACACAGGTCTTACCCAGCAAAGTGTCACCTTACAGAGAAGCCTATCAGGAGCAGGCTGACATCATCGCGCCAAAATACTCCCCAGCTGTGTTTCCCACCGGGGATGCTTCCAGAATGGAGGGCGAGTCACATAGAGATATGATTAGAAACAGGGGTTTAATTTAGGTTTCCTGCAGATTCCAGGACTTGGGTCTCTTCCCAGATCAGCTGTGTCCCTGCATAGCAGGGACGACTGCCGGTTTTCCTTCGTCTTGGGGCAGGGGGAGAGAAAGAGAGAGAGAGAGAGTGTGTGTGCATTTCTACGTGCTTGAAGTCTCTGTGACCTCACCCTTAGCCTGCCGTGGAGCTCTGGAAGTATTCAGCTGTATTTGCAGGTGTGCACCAGTCATTACTCCTTAGAAAATTGCCCGTGTGAAGAGGCTTAGTCTTCTTGCTGAAAGATCAGTACTTGGTCACGCTGCTCTGAGCACCGGCACTGTGGTGCTGCCACGCTGAAATAGAGCTCTTGACTCTGGAGTGCAGGGGGATAGAGTTGTGTGTGTAGTGCAGCTCCACAAAGTGTTTCATTACAATTGAGTTTCACTTGCATACGTGCTTCTGCAAGGAGAGAGCTTTTCGAGTGGTATTACCAAGGGAGTGTAACTTGTAAAGAGTAAGTGCCATACAAAAATAGTGTTGTTATCATTAGCTTTGGCTCACTTACTTACTCCTCCCAGGGATCTCTGGGAAGTCATTATAATATTGATGAATCTGTATTTTCAGGCTCTGTGCAAACATCAGCTAATTTTCTCACCAGTTGAGGCACAGAGGTAGGAGGTTATTTTCAGCTGAGCATAAACCACTGTAAAGTAAACAGGGAGGCATCATGCAGCTACTGTTGTGTAGTGTCACTGCAAGCCAACAGTTGGCCCTCCCCAGAACAGCACTTGGGCAGAAAGGGGTCATCTTCCCTCCTTTTCCAGTCCTCCAGTCACCTGGAAAATCCATCCCTCTTCCAGGTATGGAAACCTAGAGGAAAATCAACTCAGCTGAAGGCCTTAATAACTGAAATAACTGAACTAGCTGTCTTTACCCCTGGAGGGATGCTAGGTTTCTGTTTCACAGCATCCCAGCTCTGGATTAAGAAGTCATGTAAGTATCAACTGGGCCAGAACCCAAAGTCCAGCTGCTACTCCTCTGCATTCAAGGTGCCTAGAAGACAAGACCCATGGATCTACATCTCTTTGGAATTCCACATATTATTTTTGTAATAAGAATTCCATCATTATTACCTGTCCGTCCTTTTGCTGCTGGGAGAACACAAAAGCCAGTAATTCACCTCCCTTGATATTAAGGTCAAAGCCCACAGGCTATGCAAGATAAGTTCTCTGAAATGCTACATTTCAGTTCCTAATAATTTCTAAAGTATAGATTAAATGGAAAAGATGATCATACAGTTCTTAATTTTCCTTATTTTTAAAAAAAAAAACACCAACAATACCAAACTGGAATCATAACCACTGAAGTAATGGAAAGTCCCATTAGAGCATCCAGTTAGTAGCCATAACTAGTTTAGTTTAGTGCATATGAGTTTAAACCATGATCTAGTTCAGTTTTCCCCTTACATCTTTCAGTGCATGTACAAATGGTTAGTTTTTCTTTGAGCTTCCCTTTTCATTATCTCTTTCACTGTAACAGACACAGAAAGAGATGTTGACTCAGTTCACTGCTGCAGATGGAGATCTCCCCCAGCCTTCCCCTCATGTGATCTCTGTGTCCCCTGGTCACAGGACAGCAAGTCCTTTTGTCTCCCAAGTGATGGGTGACTGTGGTCTGTCCTCACGTTACTGCGTTCTGGGAATGCAGCAGATGACACAGCTCATGTGATAAAGGCGGCAACCTGTGGTCTGCTGGCGGCTTCTCTTGAGAAATTACGGGATTGCGTGACTGCAGATAGCAGCAGCCCCTGATGTTTCAGCCCTGCCTGCCTTTTCTATAGTAAAGACTATACTACTTCTACTAGTAGAAAGTAGTACTTTCTACTGGGGTAGATGCAGCCCTGGGGGGGGTGCCCAGTCAGACCACGTTCTGGGGAGTGGTTCCGTGGCACACGGTGCTGCCTTACCGCCCCAGAAATCTCTTACAGGAAATCCACTCTTGTGAAGGCATTGGAGTGCGGGGAGAACATTAAAAGTCCTGAAGTTTCTGAACAGGGGAGGTTGTGTGGGAGCATGGCACTGCATAGGCTTCTCTCTGTGAGAAGGAGAGCTTCTATTCTGTGAATCCACCCAGCTGTTATTTGGGCCCGAGGAGCCTTTCAGCACCCACAGCAAGGCCTTCAGTGGAGAGTGCTGCTGCTTAATTACACATTGTTTCCAGAACTGCTTTCTTCTCTTTGTTTCCAACCTGCCACTCCTAGTTTCATCACATTTTAATAGCATTATGGAGAAAAAACACTTAATTGGAAAATGTATGTTTACATTTATTAAAATATTGTTCTCATGAACCACTTTCATTAGGCACCTTTTGCTTTCGTGCTTGTTATTTTGGTTGCAGCAGTGAGGCCCAAGACCAAAGTTATTGTGTTTCTAAATGGTGGGAAGGGTGTTTCCTGGGCATCAGATCTGCCAGCCCCTAGTATCTGCATTCCAGCTCCAGCTGGGGCTTCTTAAGCTGTCTTAAGCCTGTCTTGCCTATTGAGTTTGGATGAGAAATAAAAATTACAAAGGGTCATAGAAAGTTGCAGATTTCAGTGGCTTCACTGAAGAGTTTTGCGTGGTTTTACTAGTCAGTGTTAACAAATAGAAATATAAATGTAGCTTGCAGTAGAGCCTCAGAAAGCTTTGAGAGGAACCAGCATGTTTGTTTCTTACTTTGTCCTCTTACTAGTAGGTAGAAAAGTTCCAAATTTCCTTCTCTCTTATAATAATCATGGCAAAATACTGGGGGATGCGGGGGGGGAAGCTTTTAAAATAAGGGAGTTTGTGTTTGAATGCAGTGGTCAGAAAAAAATTTTGTGGGGTGTTTTTACTGAACTTTCACACTTCAAAGGTCTTAAACTACTATTGTTTTTAGAGGATGGTTGCCTCAAATCCCTTCTTAGCTGAATCTAGAAGCAGACAAATAAAACAGCTTGATAATCCATGAGGGAACCCATTTCAAATCAATAGTGGTACATGAACAGTGTGACCAGATTGTGGAGATTCCAGCACTCCACCGTCTTTGGTGTTAATTCATGATCACCGCCACCAATTTGGCATTATTCACTTACCAACCCTACAGGCAAGTGTTTTGGATGCTACATTAAAAAAAAAATCATAATATGTGGTGGAAGTGTGTTGACATCAAGAGGAGCTTGTGTATTGGTAAGGGTGATGGACACAAGCAAGTATGATTCCCACAGACACAAATACATTTTGACATGGGTGGCAACGTAGAAAAAGAAAAAAAAAAATGTGCAGCAGGCATGAAGAAAGAAAGAGGTGAGAAAAAGCAATATAAAGGAGAAAGCTGCGTCCACCAGATGATCCATGCCTGTAGACAACCTAAAGTTCTTGTGCAGACAGCAGTTTCCATGTAAGTCCATGGGAGATGCTGGATACTCAGAACTTCTCCTGATTAGACTCCACTTAAACTGAGATGCGTGTGTATGGAATAGCATCCCAAGCTTTGGGCAAATATTTCTGCAAATCCTGGTGCTGGAGTGTTTCTATCCAGCAGCTTGAAGGGATGGGGCTTTCATGGTTATCTCACCCCACTTTCCCCATAGTTCAAAACTTAAACCAGGGCTCAAGTCAGGACCCTTTCCACTATTGCAGTGTGTGTAATTTGACTGTTGGCAAATAGTTCTGGTTGGAAAAGGTTTAGCATGACAGAAATTGATGTAGTATCTTACGCCTCTAAACTGGTCCTTTTGAAATTCCTTGTACAGTGGCTTACTGTGTTGGGCAGGTGGAGTGGCAGGATAATGGATGCAGCATTATCTGCTGGCCTAGTTGCAGAAGTACATAGTATATATTTATAGACTCAATTAGGTTTTTTTCCAGCAGAATCAACTCTTTCATAACCAGCAGTTGGCTGCTAGTGCATGGCATGCACTTAGTCAGAGGCACCATCAGCACCCAGTGGGCATCATTGATTTCCTGGTTCTGGAGCTTCTATCTCTGAGCTATCGGACATTCCTGAGCAAGTGTTCTTGCCCAAGAAGGCTGTGGAGCTGGTGGGGTGTGAGGGGCACCACCAGGGGCCCTGCTTGCAGGGAGGGCAGCTGTGGAAGTGGCATTGCTAGCAGGGCTAGGCTAGCAAAGGGCTAGCTTCCTAGCTAGCAGGGCTAGCTAGGAAAGGCTGCTGGGGGCAGTGCTTCCAAAGAGTCCAGCCTCTTCTGTGAGACAGACCGTGCAACTTCATCCCAAGGTTCACACTTAATATTATATTATGAACAAATGTGTTGGAATACTGCAGTGCAGTGTGCATCTCAAACTGCTCCTGTGTTGAAATGCATTTTTAATGATGGAAAGCCATGCTGGGTGTGACAGTGTTACTTGTTCCCAGAGTGAGAGCTGGTTTCACGAGCCTACTGTGATGTTCCTTATGAGTCCTTGGTCCTGGAGAGGTAAGTCTCTCCAGGCAGCTGGTATAGTCCGTGGCTGTTGAATGGCTTAGAAAAAAGGTGAGCACATGTATTCAGGTGATCTCCTACCCTTTTTCCCCTACCACCCATCCAAGTGAGATCCTGCCCCCATGCCTGAGAAGGGCACCAGAGGACTTAAGGACCATGTGAGCAGAGCAAAGGGTATCTGTCTTCAGCACAAGCCAGCCTATTAGGGTCGCAGGCCTCACTGGTGTGACAGGCAGCAGCTAAAAACAGCCAGTTTTAAAGAAGTTTTAGTCAGAATTTCCTGCTCTCTTTGTAGTTTGCTGGGGGGGCGGGGGTGGAATCAGCCCCATAGGTTGAGAATCACGAGTCCACATCAAGTGTTTGAGCCTGCAGTGAGTACTGGACTGCTACCGCGTTCAAAGATAAGTGGGTATTTTATCATGTGTTTTTATCATGTTGTTTTATCAGATGTTTTTATCTTGTTGGGACCTCAAGGCCCAGCATTTGCAAGGTCGGGGAGCAGGGGGCACCTGTTATTGGTCTGTTCTGGCTATGGCAGTTCCCTATAAGATGGTTAGATCTGGATTCCTGACCAGATATGTCTTGAAAGTGGGGTGAAGCAGGGGGAAAGGAGACATGGTACAGAAAAGGAAACAGGGTACAGGAACTGCAGAAGAAGGAGGGATGACTGCCTCCCTGAGGAAGTGCAGGAGGTAAACTCTGTAGCAGAGTGGAAGACTGGGCGTGAAAAGGGAAAAAACTGGACTGGTAACAGACTGCTGGGGGAAGGCAGGCTCTCACTTGCTGCTCTTACGGCTACAACTCTGCATGTGCTCATGGCCTTCCCCTGGCAGAGTGCCTTCACCCTTTCAAGCTGCTCAGTGAAAGCTTGTTTGGACAGAGGTCAGGATGACATTCCTGTGATCATTTAGGAGATTGTGTCAGAACTGAGAGCTTCTCTTGAACCATCCTCTGGTTGGAACGTCTTTAGATTTTAATTACAGGTCCTAGGTACCACAAGGATATGGTGGGAAACAGCTTGCTGGACACCAGAGCTGTTCTAACTCTTATGCCTGAGTGGCTGGGTAAAGGTAAAGCTTGATTCCTGCTGAGGTTTGTGCTATGAAATACTGAGCTCAGAGAAAGTATTAACAGCTGGGTGACAAAGGCTGGTGTGAGGTCTGGTGACCAATATTCTGATTTTGCAGAAACTGAACATCACTTTTGCAATTCCAGCTCTATCCCTCCATACCCTATGGCAGGCACTGCACATGTGTGAGGGCTCATGGAGTGATCTCATGCTCTCCCCTCTCTCTCCCTCTGTCTCCCTGTGTTGTCCCCTCTCTTTCTGCAGGTCAGCGTGGAAGTCTTGGTAGAATACCCTTTTTTTGTATTTGGACAAGGCTGGTCATCCTGCTGCCCTGAAAGAACCAGCCAGCTCTTTGATTTGCCATGCTCCAAACTCTCAGTGGGGGACGTCTGCATATCGCTCACACTCAAGAACCTGAAGAACGGCTCTATTAAAAAGGGCCAGCCCATGGACTCAGCTAGTATCTTGCTGAAGCATTCAAAGAATGACAGTCTAGGTGGAAGTAGACACAGGTATGCGGAGCAGGAAAATGGGATTAATCAGGGAAGCGCACAGATGTTAGCTGAAAACGGTGAACTGAAGTTTCCGGACAAAATAGGATTGCCTGCAGCACCTTTGCTCACCAAAACAGAACCCAGCAAGCCCCCAGCAACGAGGAAGAGGAGGTGGTCAGCCCCCGAAACACGAAAACTAGAGAAATCAGAAGAGGAGCCACCTTTGACTCTTCCCAAGCCTTCTTTTATTCCTCAGGAGGTTAAGATTTGCATTGAAGGTCGATCCAACGTAGGAAAGTAAAAGTTGTTTGGGGAAAGGAAATTAGGCTATCCCTTGTCATTTTTATCCAGATTACTGTACTGTAGACTAAATAACCCAGTATTTACATGTTATCATCTTATTTTAGGTTTATGTTATAACCTTGTTGTTATAGTTGCAGCTGGTATTATGCAGGAGACTGGTGCATATGTTTTTCCACAAGTGTTTGTCAGTGACTAGGTTTATCAAGAGCTACAGAAGGGGCAGTATCTGCTTCACACACCCTTAGTGGAAATGAATGTGTTGTCATGGCTCCTGTTTTCTAACACCTCGTGTAGGACAGGGTCCAGCTGTGATTTTGTTTTCTTTTTGTCGCTGTTTTTTGGGGGGGGGGGGGTTGTTTGTTTTTTTTGTGTGTTTGTTTTGTTGTTTTAGTTCCTGTTCTAGTTTTTTTGGGTGGAGGTGAGGAGAAGGGAACTGTAGCAGAGGTGTGTGTCAAACATGGGGTGCATGCTTGTGTGTGTGTGTGTGTGGGTGGGTGCATGCCAGCCCCTGGGGCGGGACGGCCGCTCTTTGGCGGGTTGGTGATGAGGTTTCCTCACCCCAGGTGGATGCTGAGGACACAGCCCTTGGGTGTGTTACTGAAAAGGATCAGACAGTCTCTGATGTTTTCAACAACAAGCCAACTCTTACTCAAGGCTCTACTATACATATATATATATATATATATACATATATATATATATATATATTTGTGTGTGTGTATATGTATATATATATTTTTCCCCCATGGGGTCTGACTGCACTGATTTTTATTCCTAAAGCAAACTGCCACACCACATTTCCTTTCTGCTTGCTAGTGCAGTTCCATTGCCCAGAGTCAGCGACGGCGAGGCTGTACGGACTCTCGCGCCGGTCGCCCTGCAGGGTTTCCCTTGACAGCGGGGGGGGGTGGGTGTGTGCGTGTGGCGTGGGTGTGCGTGGGTGTGCGAGGAGGCCTCTGGCTCTGTGGATGCGCCTGGCTCAGGCTCACTCCTGTTTCTGTGCAGTGTTAGACAAATTGACCGGGTTACGCCATTGACATTTGCTTCCACAAGGTAGACGCAGACTGCCCCTTTGAGATCACAGGCATCCATCGTTTGCAGTTAGGTTGCAAATCTTTGTCTTTAACTCTAGTACTGGTTTTAGTTCATGGTTATGGACAACTGGTGCCACTTTTTTCAAATTGCGGTGTGTGACACAGGAATCCGCTGTTGAAGATGAACCTAGAATGTCTTTAAGCACTTAAAATGCTGTTCACACTTTATTGCTGAGCATCCTGGTCTAACACTCAGTACGTACTGTATATCACTTTAATCTGCTCAGAAGGCAACAACAACAAACAAATCTCTTCAACACTGTAACTACATGCAACTATGTAAAGTTTTCTCACAGGCAAGATGCTGAAAGTTTTAATGTGGTTTCAAAGGGATGAATGTGAATTATTGAACTAGTATGTGACAGTCATTGTCCACAAAGGACTACTTAATAGGAGGCACTTTTTAAACTTTAATGCTTGAGAAAGAGTTAAAGGCATATGCGAGCTGACATAATAAAAAAAAAAATAAGAGAAAGGAAAAAGGAAAGAGGAAAAAAAATCATTGTCCAGTGTTTTTGAAAAAGATGGACTTTAAAGAATCTTGCAATTTGCACATCTTGAGTTTATCATTTGTGTGGTATTCCTGCAGTTTTTACCTAATAATGTTGTGGGGTGGGGGGGGTCTGAAAGAGCATAAACAAATGTAGCAATTACTCACTAACCTGCCTACGCTCTAGGCCATTTCATAGGGTTACGTTCCTTTCAGAGTTCATTTTCGGTCTTTCTACCGTATCGGCCACACAGAACCAGGTCCTACCGGGACACCTCTGAGAATTTTTCTTCAGACTTGCTGAGAGAGTTTTCCAGAAAAAAACAAACCATTTCTATAAGTAAGCAAGGTGTTTGTTTGTTTTGAAAACAAACCTATTGTTATTATTGTTATTGTTATTATTATTATTATTATTATTTGTTATTTTAATTGCATCGTTTTCCATTGGAAAGGCGACATTTCAAGAGTTTGGTACAAACCAAGTAGGAGCGGAGGGATTCACGCGTTCAGTCTTTTCTTTCCCCAGGTAGGGCCGGATCCTCTGCGGTGCTGTGCACCCAGCCCCCTGCACGAGCCTTGGGGAGGTGTGAGTATGAAGTATGTTGGGGCTGAGTGCTAAAACCTGTCGCTGCCTCTTGAAAGATCCCAGCGGGATTCCAGTGGGATCACGCTCGGGCCCTCCGTGAGCAAGCGTTTGTGTCGTCGTTTTTGGTTGGCGAGTTCACATCCTTCAGGTAGTTTTGAAGAAGCTGTACTCACAGGGAGAACAGGAAATCAAAGTCTGTCATTAGAAACACAATAACCTAAAGTGAACAAATTTATTTAAAGTCTTGTTTTCCCTCTCCCCTGAAATACAGTGCTTTTCTTTAAGAGAAGAAATGTTAACCCCAAACCCCATCTTTGACTCTTGTTACTTGTTACTTGAAATTTAGCTCACACCAGACCTAATTGTTTTTATACCATATTCTGGGGTGCACCAAAAAGTTGAAATATGTTTAAAATAGCTTGAAACTTTTTTTTTAATTTCCTTGAATTTTATTAACCTCTCAGCGGGCTACCAAATAGCTGAGTGGGTTTCTTCTCACAATCACACAGCTTAGTTAGTGCTTATTTGTTAATATTTCTGCTCAGAGAAGTTGCTTAATCTTCCATATACTCTGCTCAGGGCACTTGCAATTTATTGTTTTGTTTTGTTTCCTGTATTTTTTTTTTTTAAGCTTTGATGGTAAAGGAATAGAAAGAATTACAGATTTTAGTTCACAGTCGTACCACTATTTCTGTACTTCACGTGTACTTGGAAAAAAAGAAATCTCAAGTAAAACCATACACATACATACTTGTGGTTAATAAGGAAGCAGGGGCTATTAAACTGACTGGATCTATTCAACTAACACTAAAAAAATAAAAAAAAAAAATAATAATAAAAAATACATTTGGAGCAATAGGAATGTATTAGTTCTGTGCTTGTATTTCAGACTGAGGAATTCTGAAATAACTGGTTCTTTCCAAACAATTGTCCCCTTCCATGCTTTAGCTTTTGTAGGATGTGCAATACTTTACGTGCCAACTTAGACTCACCTGTGCGGTGTTAGCTAGATCTCATATCCACTTCTGATTTCCCCTGGTTTTGTCTCTTTTGAATTCTTTCTTTCTACCTTTCTCCCTGCCAACCACCCACCATTAATAAGTCCCTCCCGATCCTCCCCCCTCCAAAAAACCCACACCATATTAAGGATAGAAGATCCCTTGCCCCGGGAAACATGAACCCTTTTATGTATTTGTTGTTTAAAGAGATCCAGGAAGAAAAAAAAATAGAAAAAAAGAGATGTATTCATGTCTACATGGCATCCAGGCAGAGGGTGGCACTCAACCATATGGCCTAGTGCCACATTCCGCCTGGACACACGCCTGCAGGAGCTGGCTCCCACCGGGGCCAAGTCCTTTGTAAGGCGGGGCTTTGCCTCTCCCTCTGGCACTGAGCATCCCTTGCAGTGCAGCCCCAGGCCCAGGAGTGCCATCGATCCACAGGGCAGGTGCAAAATACCACTGCAAGCACGGGGATGCTGAGGTGAAGCCAAAGGACAAGGCTTGGCCTCCGCTCTGCGTGGCTGCCGCTTTGCAATAGTAACTAACAGCAGTTTTCTTTTTGTCTGTTTCTTTCCTTCTGTAGCAGGCCTCTTTAGTTTACAACGAAATACATACAATCACCAAGAAATTAGTCAGGGCAAAGAAAAATAAAACAAGAACCTCTTTATAGGGATTTCTAAAAAAAAAAATAAAAATCTATTTGTCTGTCTGTCTATCTATCTATCTATCTATCTATCTATCTATCTATCTATCATCTATCTATATATCTATATATATAAAGTGACTGTTCCTTATAGCGTTTAACTTAGGCATTGTTTCAGTTTGTCTGGGCCACATCGTGGGGAATTTGAGTTTGATGTCACTTACCTCAAGTCCTCTGGTTGAGACCCGAATCAGGGTCGCTGTTGACCTATTTTACCATTTTGTACCTTGCCCTTAGGCTTGCTTTCCCTCGAAGATGCAGACCTCGGGAGGAGGGGAGGGACACAACGTTACTTTTTTCATTCCTTTAATTCCTTCGTCCCACTGTCGCTTCATTCAACCTGTCGTTCCCCGTCATTTTCTCAGCATGGGGAAGTGACATCACTACTCTTGTTTCCCTTAAATCAAGGAACATTTAGAAACCTTTCACACCTTTTACTCAGGGATGGGGCTGGCGTATGTGTGGTACACTGATGTGACCAGAAGCAGCACTTTTACTGCTCCGGAGTAGGGATGTACAATGTTACAGACAAGTTTGGATTTCCTGCATCTCATGGTTTAAACTTTGTAGATCTCACTTAGATTGCAATACAAAAGCAGCAGGCTCAGAATGAACTGTAGCTGTTGGTTATCATGAAAATACACTCTCTGCAGAGATTTATATTTCTTTAAAGTGTGTTGCCAGTAGCAAAAAGGAAATGGTGAAATTCTGTTAATTCTTGCAACTGCTTAAAAAAAGAAAAAAAAAAAAAGCCTGTGTCAAGGAGAGCAAATTCTCAATCTTTTTAAACACTAATAGTGTTTCAGAGTAGCTCTTGGTGCAATGCTCTGTGTGTCATGGGACCCAGTTCTGCAAACACTTATACATGTCCCCATGGGAGGTCTGGGCTGGCTGGCAAAGACTGCTCAGGGGCTTGCTGTAAAGCACATGTATAAATCTTTGTGAAATTGAAGCGTGGTTCAATCAGGGCCAGATCCTGACCTTAATTCAGCAGCTGGAAAATGTCGGGGTTCACCAGGGCAGAAGCCTTGGGCAGGTGCAGGGGATTTGGCCCATTGAAACACTTCTGCTGTCCCAGAAACTTGACAAATGGCAGAATGGGATATGCACTCATACAGTTTCCATTTCTTCCCTCCCCATCATCACAGGTAGCAGCAGAGTCCACTGTGGGCTCTGGCCAGTGCTGATGTGAAAAGCAAGGGGAATGAACATACCACCTGAGTGGAGGCAGTAATTTCCTTTTCTCTGGTTTTTCTAACCCTCCCACTCCCCCAAATCCTGTAATACATAGCAAAATGAGAATTTGTTGATACAGATATGCATATGTGCACACACACCCCCAGGCAGAAGTGTCTGTTTGCACACAAAGAAGTTATGTGTGCATTTTTTTTTACGTGTATGCCTACATGTCCACTTGATTCCCTGTCCTGAGGACAGCCTTGCTTTGTGCCCATAGGGAAATTCCAAACGCGTTGCACACCTCTACTCCAGAGTTCAATTTCTTTTACATAGACGACCTCGCTTCAGATGTGTTACCTTTACTGATAGGATCTTTTCTTGTAGCACTATACCTTGTGGGAATATTTTTTGATGTAAACCTAATTTGAGAAGCTTATTAAAAATAGAAACTTTTTTTGAAGCACTCACATTGAGGAGTACAGGTAATGTTTTAAAAAATTGCACAAAAGAAAAATGAATGTTGGAATGATTCATTCAGTGTTTGAAAAAGAGATGGCTCTGTTTGAACAGTGAGTTTCATACCTTGTTTGTAAAAAAAAAAAAAAGTTTTTAAATACAAAAGCAGAGAAAGGTTGAAAGTTACATGTTTTTTGTATATAGAAAATGTCATGTCTAGATGATCTGATTTGTATTGGCTCTGGCCAGGAAGAATTATTACTTAAAAGGCTCTTAAAGAACAACTGTGCTTAATTTTCTGTTTGTATTACATGGGTCCCATTTCTGGGGAATGGAGTCACACTGTTTATTCCTGTGCTGAAAATACACCTTGGAGCAGCAATTCTTGAGTGCAGCTACCAGGCACTTCGAAGGGTGGCTACTGTGCAAAACTAGAGTCTCACTCTCCAGTTATATTTTGGCTTTAAGTCTCTTCTGCCTGCGCTGAGGAAGCCCCTGGCAGCCCAGAGGTCAAGGCCGGTTTTGAGGGAGGTCTCGGCCGTGTCCAGGGCAGGCATGGCCTGGCTGGCCCGAGTTTGGGGACCCTGCTGGTGCTGGCAGCCCTCGGGTTGAGAGCTGCTGCTGGCAGAGCACAACCTGTGTACTTTCTGTCTGAGGCCTTTTGGTCCCATTTTTTTCTCTCTGGGGATGCTGTTCCATGTGTTTTCAGCACTGCCTGTTCCAGATGAAATCCAAAGAGTACAACCCTGAGCTAGAAGTGCTTGTAACAAGGTGTCCTTGCCCAGTACTAGCAGCAGCATGGTACCTGAGGCGACCCGGCCTTCCAGCCCCTGTCACTGCCCCTCTCCCCCACCGCTGCTGCCAGGGCGCCGGGAGCAGCTGGTCACACAGAGCATGGTTCCAGTGATGGTCTTGACTGATGGCAAGACTGATGTTTTCCAGAAGCCAAAAGGAGAGGATCCTGAAGCAGTTTCTGAAGAGAGGATCCTTTTCTGTTCCAAAGATTGAGCTGGGCAGCTGGGAGCTGGTGGCAGGGTGGAGAGGGCAAAGTTTAAGGGTGCTCCCATCCCCCTCCCCGGAGGTGACCCCAGCTTCGACTTCCGCAGGAACACGGAGTGGGAATGCTCGCCCTGTGCAAGTGACCCCCAGGTGCTCAGAGACCAGCCCCAGTTGTGTTACGGTGAAGTGCATTCAGCCAACAGGTAGTATTTATACAATAACAGTCTCTAAGGTTTCCATAGGTTTTTTTTCTTGTTGTTAGCTGAAAGGACTCAAGTCTTCCACTGAGATTTTATGGAGGCTTCATCCAAGGTTGTTTCTTTTTTGTTAGTTTCTATTTTGAGCAGTTAAAGCTCCTGTGCCCTTTCCCTTGACCACGCAGTAGGTGTGCATTGGAAGTGTTGTTTGCAGCGAGCGGAGACACTTGTTCAAGCTGTCCTTGCTGTACTACAGGATGGGTGATGGGCAGAAACTTCAGGGCCCAGATTGGGTCCCAGAGTGGGACCACTGGCTCTGCAGGCAGTGCAGGCCTGCCCCTGCACACCCACTGGTGAGGGGATTCCACCTTTTAAAAGTGCAGGACCCAGGTACTCTCCCATTGAACAAGCTCTGCAGAATTCTTGTTCCAGTCCATCGGGTTTGGATCTGGGCAGCTGAGGGCAAAAACGAGCCGGGGGTGGCTGCAGGTGGCTCGGTCTGCGTCTTCAGCCGGGCCGTCAGGCCAGGCGCTTCGCAAAGTTACTAATCTGGTAGGGCATAGATGCAGCTCTTCACGACAGTCAGCTAATGTTGAAACTCACTAATGTATGTATTTGCTCCTTTTTTTTTTTTTTAATAATATATTAACTTGTTGAACACTGTTCTTTTCGCAGTGTACAAAAGTGGGGGTGGGGGAATTTCCCAACCTTTTTCAGTTTGGGTGAGCTACTGAAATCCATTTTGTACTAGCTATGTCACCGCTCCCAGCAGCAGCTGGCAGTGGCACTTGGCCAAGCTGGGGTCAGGTCCAGCCATTTGACATCAGTAGTTTTTAAAGTAATTTTTTTTTTTTTTTAATTGTCTGGTATTACTAACGAGGGTTGTTGCAAATCACACTTCCAGTGTAGTTCCTAGTGTAGGCCCAATAAAAGGGATATCGCAGCTTTGTGTTGGGGAGAAATTGAGCTGACATGGCCAGTACAAAGGAGAAAATAGGGAGGGAATAACGTTTTGCACCTTATTGAAAAGAGGAGAAGATTTTAAGTGCATACAGACATAGTTAAGAGCTTTTATTGTGACAGGAGAACTTTTTTCCATATGCGTGCATACTCTCTGTAATTCCAGTGTAAAATATTGTACTTGCACTAGCTTTTTTAAAACAAATATTAAAAAAAATGGAAGAATTCATATTCTATTTTCTAATGGTGGTGTGTCTATTTGTAGGATACACTCGCGTCTGTTTATTGAATTTTATGGTCCCTTTCTTTGATGGTGCTTGCAGGTTTTCTAGGTAGAAATTATTTCATTATTATAATAAAACAATGTTTGATTCAAAATTTGAACAAAATTGTTTTAAAGAAATTGTCTGTATACCAGTACAAGTTTATTGTTTCAGTATACTCGTACTAATAAAATAACAGTGCCAATTGCAAAAGCGTGTTTTGTCTTTTATGACTGAAGGGGAGAGAGCTTTCCTAGGGACATAATTTACCCAGTTTAATTCCCTGCCCCACCATGGCAATGCATCTGAGAGCATTGGCTTTTATTAGCAACGATTCCAAAAGGCGCCCGTACCGTCCCACCCACGGCCATAAAACTCTCTGCAGCCCGTCAGAGTGAAGCTCTTTATTGCATAACAAAAACTTGGGAGCAGTTGGGATGATTGGGTAGCGCACACGGCAATGCCACAGCAGAGGGAAGGGGGGCAGCGCTCTCATCACCATCTCAGCAGGGCCAAGCAGGGCAGCAAAACACTGAAAGCCCATCAGCTTTTGGCCAATGACACAGAAGCGCTTCACAGTTATCACAAGCAATGTCAGGGAGTTCTGGACTCCAAACTGCTGATTTATATATGAAAACTTTAGCCAGTAAACACTGGGTCAAATAAATGTTGGGGAGGGCTCGCTTAAGCATCTGTGTGACCACAAATGAAGCTAAGGCTGCAGGGGGTGGTCTCTCCTGAGTACAGAGCTGTGCCAGCTCTACTCAAGATATGCTTCAATGCTGCTGCCCCTGGCAGCTCCCAGCCCACAGGGAAGGGCTGGCCCTCTCCCACCTGCTGGCCCTGGCTGCTGCGAGGGCAAACTGCTGGTATTGGGCCTCACTTCCTCCCCTCTCTTCTACATAAGGCCAAACCTGGCACTGGTTGCAAAAGCACTCCTGACTCCAAAGAAGAATTTTTGGTGTAAAACTGTTATCAGCAACTAAACAGCACCATCCCCTGGTGGAGGACGTGAGATGGTGATGGATAGACACTACATACAGTGGCAGCTGCAGCAACAAGTCTGGCATGAGAGTGGAGTTCAACAGGTACAAAGTAGGTAGTGCTTGGTTCAGAAAAGCTTCAAACTCTCATCATGTCCTTGACTGAAAACCTGTCCCAACACCATGGGACTTGGCCAACAGCTGCCACATTTCTTCCTTATCCCCATCCTTTCTACCCCCGTTAGCTGAAAGAAGAGACAGGCACATTTCATATGGGAAAACTCACCCAAAGGCAAACAGAGGCTTCTTCTGATCCTGCTTACAATGCTCCGTTATTTACAGGGTATCCCCATCCTACATTCAACCCCACCATACCCTAAGGGAGAGGAAAGCACAGCCAAAGCCCCTGCCCCAGTGCCAGTGGGGACTGGCTATTCCAATGAGCAGATGGGAATGTGTTTCTCCCAGAGAATGGAGACCTGCATGGTTTGTTTTGCATCTGTCAGGATGCTGGCTCAAGGCCTACCCCTTTATCAACTGCTTACGCCTACAAGGTGTCCATGTGCATGGTGCACTCCTTGCAGCCACCACACAGTCACTGGGGAGTAAGCAAGGCCTCTCCTGTGCTGAGCCCTTCCTCTCCAAGGAGAGTTCCAGTAACCAGGCTCTGTGGGCATAAGCCCACCCTGCACAATGTGCTGCAGCAACCCCAGAGCAGGACTGGGAGCACCAGGGGTGTTAGAGGCATCCTTACGTTTCAAGAAGCCAAAGGCAGACATTCTCAGCAGGGATTGCTTATTGATGTAATGTTGCCCTTTTCAGCATCCCCACTTGTAGGTCTTTGGTATGCTAAACCGCACCCCTGTGGAGCCAGTGGGAACCTCAGCACTGCTTTTGGGAGCTCAACAATTGCCTGGCTGGGGGAAACAGGCATGGCCCTGGGCAGCCAGTACAGGCTGTCACACTCATAGCATTCCTCTGGACAGAGGATGGGGTAGGGTTAGAGAAGACCTGGTTATGCAGAATCACTCAACACTAAGCATTATTAAGCACTTACAAATTTCATTTCCCACAAAAGCACACCAAATAACAAAGAACCCAGTTAGATGCGCAGGTGAGGTAGATCCACAAATGGCACATGGCATTGTCAGTGGCTGTGGTCTTGACTTGGACCATCCTGCCAAAGTGTGTTCCTGGCTCCCTCTGCCTCAGTTCCTTGTGGGAGTGGCAGCAGGCTTGAGCAGGGTACAGGACCTGGAGCTAAGTGAAGATCAGGGCAATTACTGCAGCACAGGAAGGGGGACTCAAGTACTCTTTTCTTTTTTAAGTTTTTAGGGTTTTTTAAAATTTATTTTCCAGCCTGTCTGAGAGCTGTATATGTACAGTGTCAATGGTTGGCACTGACATAGCTGAGGGTTATTCCTGAACAAAACTCACATATAACTGGGTGAGATGCAGACATGCTACCGGTTCAGCCTTTCTGCATCTCATTTGTCTTTCCTGCTCACTTTTGGAGAGAAGAAAATGAAAGAAAACATCCTGCATATCAAAACAATATACCTAATATCAAAACTTTATCAGTCACCATTCATGGCATCATTCACAGCCTGAAGAATTTGGGGGACAACTTAAGAACAGCTTGTCCCTCTTCTATTAGTCAATGATCAGAGGTATGTGCAGGAGCGGAAGGAAAGCAGGTTTAAGAATGGCTCCATTTGCCACACTTGTGGAGAAGCAGTCTCCCCTTGCCCCCAGCACTTGCCCTTCGGGAAAGAAAATGTTCTGAGGCCATCATGAAGCTGCTCGGTTTGATGTGTGCATGATCTTTAAAAAAAAAAAATGTTTACAAATATATATCTTTTTATATGCATATGTATTTCTTAAATTCCACTTAGAAATGTAGCTAAAAACAAAGTAGAAAAGCGCTATTGAGAGTGGGCATGAGACCAGCAGAGTGCTGCACTTCCCACATGTGAAGGCACCAGTGTGGAGACACACCTGTGGTCAGGCCTGGGCTGTGGTGGTCTAACCCCACTCCTGACAAGAGGTGTCCATTTGCTTCCCTCTTACTTAACATAAATAGAGGAACAGTGCTGTCCCACAGCTGTACTGATGCAGAGAGGTCATGTTGCTCCTGCTCTGGGCCCAGTGAGCTGAGAGCAGTAGGTGGCCCATGGCGCCTTTCTGTGGCGAGGCAGCCCGGCATTCTCTTAACATGATGCTTCCAGGCTGGAGGGAACAGAGGTCAGGGCCTGGATTCACAGAGCCTGCTTCTCTTCTGCACTCACATTCCTTTATGATATGTGGGCAGGACAAATGGTCCTTGCAGCCAGCACAAGCATAACCTGTGCTCACATCAAGGCCTCATCCACTTCCAAAGCAGAGGAAGGGGTCATCCCACAATTAAGAAGTACATCCTACGTGTTAAATGGAAGACATTTAAAATATCAGGCAATTCAGAAGATATCCTGTGCTTTTTCTAATGGGCACAACACACTTAAAAATCACAAGTGATCAGCTTGTGGTGACCATGCTTCTCAGCAGGTCAATTGTACCAGTCCTTGTGATTGGCTTTTTGAGCAGTCCAGCATATGAGTTTAATTCTAGAGTTTCTCTTTGCTATTCCTTTTCCTACAGATCACTCTTTTGCTTTTCAAAGGAAGCCTGCCTCTTTCTACAGATGTCTATAGGAGAGGAAAGTAAGACTCTGAAGTACTGAAGTATCATCAGCCGCATTATGATCTCAGCAGCAGTTTAAAGTAAGTGGCCAAACATTATTAATTCATTGGTGCTCACTTTTGCATCATTTATCGTATCGAGCTACTGCGGTATTCATGTGGATGCAACATGTATTTCCAAATACACATATTTCCAAATTTTCATTGTGATTTATCAATTAATTATAAGGCAATACACTTTACTGAAGTGTTACCCAGAGTCTCAAACATTCATTACTGCCTTTAGAGCAAATGCTTTAACTCCATTGCCTGACAGTGTCTTGCAATCAATCAGGCTGTTCTGCCAAAAACTCTCTCTTGCTTTACATGATGTCAAGGACTGCAAAGGAGTGGTACCACATAACCAGAATGCAATTTGATCCCCCTGGCCTCCTCCACCTGGCCACAGACAATGCACCGCACAGCGTTTTTACATCTTTGCTAAATGGATGTGAGCAGGCAAGGGAACAGGGAGGACTGCAAGAATCGTCCCCCCTTGTCAGGGTAACAGTTGCTGAGTTTCAATGTCTTAAGAACCTGCTCCCAGAGAGCAAGTAAAAGCAGGAATCCATGTAATTCAATAACTGCACTCATGATAAAGCAGGCAAGCTCTGAAAAGTGTTCACCTGAATGATCTCCTCAGATGGGGGCAGGGTGGCCAGCATGGTTTTGTTACATTCAGTGCCAGCTTCTCTGAAGGGGCAAGTCCATTGAATAGGAAGGTTTAAGTAACAACAGCAACATCAGCCCTGTGAACTGAAAGTGACAGAGATCTGGCATTTTTAGCATGTCACCAGCAGCCAGGCCTCATCTACCATCCACCTCTGACATTTTGCAGGCTGGCAGCTGTGCCATAACATCTATTCTTTGGCCAGAAAAAAGATTAAGAGAATTTGATTTCACCCTGAAATTCCTTGCACCTTTTTCTCTCCCAGCCTGCAATTTCTGAAAGGTGCACTGCCAGAAAGTGGAGGTAGCTGACAGGTCAGTCTTAAAAAAGGGAATGTGTGAACGTGTGCAGGCGTTAACAGCCATGTCTGTACAAGCCAATTCCTTGTTAACTGAGGTTTCAGCAGCTATTTATCAGAGGGGGAAAAAAACAGGTGAAGAAACATTGATTAAAAAATAAAATAGGCACAACAATAAAGATGAGGCTATTGCATTTTGAATCAACGGCACTGTGTTAATAGCATGACCTTCCCCTTCCAAATCCCAGCCATAGTCAATGGCTGTGACACTGCCATTCTGAGAGGGAAGTTTGCCACTAACACAACACGGAGGAGAAAGCAAGGGAAAAGAACAGTCCTTCCTGCTCTTCTCCCCTGCCCCTCTCTCCAGACCCCCAGGCCTAGGCTAGGAGAAGACCTCGTTGTACTGCTGGGTGACCCGGATGAACGTTGTTCTCTTGCTCAGTTCCTTGAGTTTGGCAGCTCCCACGTAGGTGCAGGTGGAGCGCAGCCCCCCGAGGATGTCCAGGATGGTGTGTTCCACATCCCCTTTGTATGGTACCTCCACAGTCTTGCCCTCTGAAGCCCTGGAGAAGAGATTAGTCACTGCATTCACGTCTGGATGCAAAACATGAGTGTGTTTAATGGAGCAATGTGGAGCTTAACTCTGCAGGCTGCAGTTTACAAATGTGCCCCCAGCTTTACTGCTTGCTGCTTGGTGCTCTCAAGCACTGAAACGCCTTAGCTCCACTCACCACCAACACTGAAAAGTAGAAGCAGACAGATCTTGTAGATGCTCCCATGAGTTTATTTACATATCTGCCCTTTTGTCCCCTCTACCATCTGCCTACAAGCAAGTGGGACTTCCAGCTTTATTGAAAGGTGAATTTGACTGTGAGAGCTGAAAGCTTTAAAGTGTAAGGAACGGCCAGACTCAAACAGAGAAATATTGGAGCTGGTTCTCAGCAGGCACCATCCAGCACAGCTCTACAGAGGCTTCACAGCCCCTGGGCTCTGGCCACGTCACCAATCAGACACAAATGGAAGTGCTCTGGCTGTCTCCTACCAGTGCGATTCTCCAGAGCTCACAGAGAGAGAGTGGGAAACCTGTTACAGAAACCTGCTGCACAGCTGTCCCTTGAAGCTAAAAGGTGATCTAGCAAAATTCAGTGCCAGGCAAAGGCCAGAAAAATACCAGAGCTGTGAATACTGTCAAGTGGTGGTGCATGCCAGCACAGACTGCACTGTTCCCAAAAAGCACATCTGAAGAGTTACACGATGGAAGAATCCAAGCAAATAACTTGCACTCCTCCTCCAGCTTTCTCCAGCCCCATGTTCAGCAATCCCTCCTGTAGCAGACACCCTTAATCAGCAGCTGATCTCACTACACTTTAGAGTAAGCTTGTTCTGCCTGGCACACTGGCTCCTCTAGAAAGGCAAGCCTTGCTTTCTTTCTGCCTAACAAAATGGAGGCAGAAATCATGGCAGTGGTCTGTCATTGTTCTAAATGTCGCTTTATTTGCTTCTTCCTTAAAAAAGTTTCCAGGGGATAGTACGAGAAAGCATGCCTACTTGTGGGCTCCATTTGTGAATCATTAACAACAGCAACAGCTGCCATGTGGAGGTACTTCGGTGAGCCTGGCTATATTTCATCCTGTTAGTTTAAATGAGAGGTCACAGCCTGAGGGAGACAATAAAGGCAAAGTGTTGATATGCCATGTGAGTAAGGAATCACGATTAATCTCTCCCTACATCTGATGAGTAATTGGCTCTTTCTTGAAACTCGTAAACACTGCAGTGAGTGGCCAGTCGAAGATGGATGTGCCAGTGGCATCTCAGAGACCGCAGAGGGCTTAGGGGTCTGTTGTGTGGCCTGTGATACTGGGAATTCCCAGGCTTTTATTTTTGGCTTCAGTGCCAGCAGGGAAAGGCTGGACCCATGAAATGACACTCATGCCACTGCTCCTGGCTTTTGGCCATGCCCATCTCTTCCAGTCAAAGTTGAGCGGTTGAGCTCAGGCTCCAGGGAGCTTCCTGTGAGATTGTGAGAGACAGTGCATGTCTGGGAGTTGTGGAAACCGGTGCAAATTCTACCACATTCTGCCACCTGAAGAGCTCTGCATGCTGTTCTAGGCATGGAGCAAGAAGTGCAGGATCTACTGCATTTGTGCACGACCACCCATTCAGTTCATGCATGAGAGGTTAATTATGCACAAATGATGCATGAAAGCACCATCAGTTCAAATGCAAAGTACCTGTTAATTCATGCTTGAGCATCCTTATGGGTCATAAGTTGAACACTGCTCCTACAAGCATGAACACTTGGTGGTCCTTTTTTCAGTGAAAAATTACAGAAATGGGTGACGGTTACAGCCACTGCCCCTGGGACATGTCCTTGCAGTGGCTGCAGTGGTGTTAGGAAGCTGAAGCTTGTGGGTTGCCACTTTAGGCTTTGGAGACAAAGATCTACAAAAGTGGTGAACACCTAATGACACAGCCCCAGAGCTCTGACAGCTGAACACTTGCTACTGCTCCTCAGAGTGTCAGCTGATGAGCTGGTGGGATGTCCTGTTGATCAAGGAATAACCTGCAGATCCTGTACTGGGGAAAGGACAATAGAAGAGAGGTGTGAGATTAGTTCCACAGCCTTGTCCACAGGGATAAGGGGATGAAGTTTCTGATGAATATATACTCAAGCTGTGCTAACATTAACCCAAACAATCTTGTCCCCAGAGGAAAGGATTTTGAAGAGATAACATGTTGCTCAGACTGAGCTGAGGAGTCATCTGGTTCCCAGGGAAGTGTGGGTGGAATTTTACTACATGTATGCACACACTGGTGCACTATTAACTGCTTTAGTCTGGTCCAGGCGTGGGACCTGTATCCATATTGGTATATAATCAAATGTTAACCCCTTTAACACTACCTAGGATGGAGAGGAGGCATTTAGTAAGTGTACTGCTACAGTATTAATCCCCAGTGGCTGGTCCAAAGGGAGGGAAAATTGTGTTTTTAACTTATGTACATTAAGACTGCAATGATGTCCAAAGAGTTCATACTGGATTAACGTTCTGAGAGTTCCCCAATACATGCCTTGCCGAGGAGTGACGTACAGGCCATAAATTGCTGGGCTTGCTGTGTTCTTGTGTGAGTGCCAAATTAGTTCATGCAAGAACACTGAATAAATTAATGCATGAGTGCCCAATTAATTAATGCATGAATGGCCAATAATTTTTGCATAAGCATCCAATCACTTCATGCATGTATACCCAAATTATTTATGTCCAAACACCCTGTTAGTAGATTAATGAGTGCCCAATGTGATGAGCTCCCAGCTGACTTCCACCAGCACCCACACGGGTGCTGTGCTGGGCAAACATGGTAGGGTTCAGGTGATACGGAGGTCCTGTGTGACCTGTGTGGGAGAAGGCCATGACCTGCATCATGGCAAAGATGGTTCCACCTGGCTCCAAAAAAGGTGTGAGCTACCAAACTTTAAGCAAGTCACAGGAGCACATGACACCTCTTCTCCAGTGTATTTATGAAACAGCAGTGGCCACTGGGAGAGGAGACACACCTGGACATACCTGAGGAGACGTGCAGCTAGAGACACCCTTGAAAGGAGGTGGTCCATGCCAAAGGTGTGCACTCCCAAAGGGACTGTAGTCCCTGTGTGACTCGTGCCAGAACAGGGACAGCTGTAAAGCGACTGTGTCCTGTGGACAGCCCTCAGTGTTGACAACACACTAGTGTTTTAGTTATTGCCAAGCTGTGCTTACTGTAAGTGAAGGACTTTCCTTTTCCTCACACCACCCCACCAGCAAGTAGGCTGGGGGGCACAAGACATGGGGATGGGACACAGCCAGGACAGCTGATCCTAACTGGCTAAAGCGACACTCCATACCATTTGGCAACATGCTCAATATATAAACCAAGGGGTAAAGTTGACTGGGGCCACTGCTCAGGAACTGGCTGGGCATTAGATGGGGAGTGGTGAAAAATTGTTTATAACTTTTGTGTATTATTATTGCTGTTGTTATTATTATCCCTTCCCTTTCTATCCTACTAAATGGTCTTTACCTCAACCCATGAATTTTGCTGTTTTTTTCCCAGTTCTCTCTCCCATCCCAGTGGGGGGTGGAGTGAGTGAGTGCCTGTGTGGTGTTTAGCTGCCTGCTGGGATAAACCATGACAATGGATTACACGGGCTGTCACAAAAGCTGGCACACTTGGCAGAGAGCTGCATAAGCAAGTCAGCAGGAACTGCTGAGGGTTTTGCAGCTCTGACATCTCTCCTGGAGTTATGACCCAAAAGTAACCCCTTCTCAGAAAGAAAAGGTGATGACACAGCAATTGAGGCTCCCAGCGGCTGGGAAAGGTGTGCTCAGATGCTCTCAGCAGTAACTCTGACTCTTGCCAGCCACTGAATAGAAAGAGAGAATGATTTGCTTCAGACTTTTTGCACAGGGCCCGGTCTGCGGTGCCCCTCCTGGCCAGCTGAAGGCTGCTGCATGGAGAGATGTGTCTGGTGGGAATCCTGGCAGGCTGGATGAGATGAAGCACATGTGGTGCTTTGCCAGCCCAGCAAAATGTGGGTCAAATAAAGGGCTGCCCTGGCATGAAGCAATCTTTTAAGTGGGACATTTAAGAAATGGAGGAACTGGGGGCAGGCCTTCCAGGCTATCATTTGATATACACAAGGTGGTAAGCAGCAGCCAGCAGTTGGTGCTATTCTGCCTCTGTGGCCAAAATTTCACCCTAAAGTTAATATGAAGTGCCCAAACCCAGCCTAGTAGCAGCTGTGAATTGCTGAGTGGCCACAACAGAACTGCAGTGTTCACACAAAATGCGTGAAATTTCAAAAGGGTTAACAAAAACAAATTGGCTCCAACCAAACAATACTGCATGCAGCCTCAGTCCCTGCTTGCCTTAATTCTCTTCTCCCACAAAAGAAACATAAAAATTGCCTTTCAGAAATCCCCAGCTCTGATCCATATTCCTCATGAAAGGAGGTGAAAATGTGAAAATAAGCCAATATATAAATGACGTAAGATTAATGAAAGTGAGTACACAAATTAAATAGGATCAGCTTGACATATTCATTACAAAAACAATTACTCTCATGACTTTATTCCCTACTACACCCATCTCACCTTATCTGTCAGTTTTAATGCAACTGCTGCAGGCTCAGGTTCTCTGGCCAACATGTGTAATTTTGAGAAGATGAAGTTAAGTGACAAGCAGTATGATTTGCAGGGGACTGAGCACACAGAGCTCCCCACTTCTCGAATAACACATTATGAGTATTCAGGCTCTTTAAAAGACAAAAAAGCTTATTTGGGTCACCAATACAGACTTATAGCTGGGGTTTTTAAATGCATATAAAGTAGCCCCACTGACTTGACCTGTTTGGGTCAAGTCTGGGGTATCCAGCATTTAAAATGCTGACTAAGAACCTTTTTGCTTCAAGCTTGTCATCAGCTAAACTAGGAAGTGATTAAACTTCCTGTAACTTTTACTTTAAGAGCAATTAAAAGAAAACCTTGTGCTATTTCAAATCCCCCTTTCAATGCCCAGCACATTGACAATACTGGATGTAGCAGCTGCTATTTTTAAACTACAGTGACACTTGTGCTGGGACAGGCCAAGGAAGACCAAGCCCAAGGTTGGTACAGGTAGCCAGCTCTGTGTCATGGCTGTAGAGTGAAGATGGGTATCAGCACTTTCCTAGTTAAGAGTCAGGGCTCACAGATTTAGTGTTTGGAGCTGTTGTATCTAGCAGCAGACTGGGAGACTCCTTCTGTGCTACCTATTAGTGGCTCAGAAATGTAGTATCTCCACAGGGACTAAAAATTTCAGATTGCGCTCCGGCTCCCTTCCTGCTGAGAAAGTGTCAGAACCTGGTCTGCAGGGATTTCTCAAATCGAGGATGCAAATCAAAATACAGCTATGGATCAAGCCAAATTTGTATAGCATTGCTCATAATGACTTCAACAGGTCTGTCTAGACTGAGCCAAATACAGCACCTTTCTGTACATCCTTTGTTCCTACAAGATGGGATACTTGCACTTTATCTCATTTTAAGAGGGACCAGTGTCAATTAGTTCTCCTGCTGGAGATGTTGTTGCCAGATCATACACACCTAACTAAATTGAATAGAATTTAAGAGCTGCCTTAGTCCTTTGTCCCTATGGTACAGTCACCTTTCTCAAACTCTTCCTGCAACTTTCACCAGCTCTCTGGAGGCCTAATGCCCAATGACTGTGGTGCACTGAGATCCATGCATGCTTGGGCTGCTCTGTAATCTTTCAGGGAGCTGCCATTAACTACATGCATGAGCATCATCAGGCCTTTCCCACACTCCAGCTGACTCAAGCACAGGGTAGCACAGGACAGGAAATGATCATTCAGGTAAAAGCAGCACCGTGCAATTGGCAGCTGCCACTTTTACATTACAAGACATTATGAGACACTTATTAGTGCTTTCCACTCAGACCATTTGTTCAGAGGCTTTGATGACAAGCAGACTTACTGGGGGACAAAAAAAAAAAAAAGAGCCCCCAAACTGTACACTGTTTCTGGGAAGTGGCATATGAACCCAAGTTAATCAAAGCTCAGAGATATGCAAGAATATCTTTCTGGTGCATGATTTCAGCTCATCTCAGATGCAGGTGGCATCCTGTGCAGCTCTTTCTTCTGCAAATAAGCAGTTGTCTCTGAAAGCAAAAACACTGAACATGTTGCCCAAAGACCTGATGGATGCCCCATGCCTGGAAACACTCAAGGCCAAGCTGGACAGAGCTCTGAGCAACCTGATACAGTTCAAGATGCCCCTACTCATTATAGGGAGGTTGGACTAGATGTACCTTAAAGGTCCCTTCCAACCCAAGTGATTCTGTGATGCCACAATTTAGGCCAAAAGAGATGGTTGTAAATGCTCTGAAGGAGGCTAAGTTTTACCACTTTGTAGTCCAAGTGCTATCTGAGCAAGTGCACAATTTTATGGTGCAGACAAAAACCACCACAGGAGTCAATACTGGGGTGGAGAATAGGAGGTGGGATTGAAGATCCTTCTATCTAGCAAGACATTTGGGATTGCTTGTCTATTTATCATCTATCAGCTTGTCTCTGTGTCAAAGCATGAATTAATTTTGTTTTGTGGATCCCATTCTGGTTTACATTTTGTCCTGTCACCTTCACAGAGCTGCAACTCTTACCCATGGTACCAGCTGGACACGCTGGGAAAAACCTGTATGTTGGAGTGGTTGTAGCAGATGAGGCCAACAAAACCCATCGATCCCAAGCGTCTGGCTGGAACTGCAGGTAAGGTCATTTTGTCTGGTGTTTACTGTAAGACAGTAGTCATTCTCTAATAAAGTATGTAAGAACCAAGTGGTCCAAGGTGACTAAGACTGCCACTCATAAGAGAAGACACAGAGGTTTTCTGATGTCATCTGCTTTTCCAAAAAGTCAAAATTCTCAGCGTTTTCCAGAGTAAAATAGCATGGACAACAGATTCCTTTGCAAAATCTGTCTTCCTTTCCTCTCCTCTGAGGATTTAGCTCAAAAATTAAGCTTTTGCATTCTGCATCATTTGAGGCTACTCTGGTGCTTTGTTACCAAAAGACAGGTGGGAAAACTGTACAGCAGGTTTCTGTTGTCTAAGAAGACTGCCCAACAAATGCAGAAGGGAGTCCCAGAGCTGCTGCTGGTGACTGAGTGCTTTGGAGGTCCTGAGCCCTCATCTTTGTACTGGGGAAACCCCAGCTGAGCTTCACCAGTTCACCAGCACCCACCTTCTGCAAGCAGAAGGGAGCATATGGGTTATCTGGGAATCTCTACACCAACAAGACACCCAATGTGGACAAGGCAGAGGGACAGAAATTGCAGCCTCGTATGTCATACTTCAGCATTTAGTTTATACACATCCTGAAGGAGGAGTAAGTCAGAAGAGTGCCTAATGACTTCCCAGACCACACTGCTGGTGCTGCACTGACAGCACACCACACCAGCTGCAAGTGAGTGAACATCACTGCTCTCAGCTAGCCAACCCCAGCTCTTTCTCCCCGTCTCCCTCTGGATGTCATCCCTCTCTCTGATCTGCTGTTATAAGTGTAGGCAACAGCTTCTTCAACGGGAGCAGCAGCATAGGCCTGTTTCCTTCTGCACAATTCTGCTCCAAACATTCCTGGATGGATGGCTCACTGCAATTGCTCCTGTGTGGAATTCATACCTGTATTCAGCAACCCCTCCTGCATGCTTCTTCATGGCTGTATCAGAGCTCATTCCGTAGAATAGCTTCACCTTCTTGCCATTCCTTTCTATAATGTCTCCAGCACTCTGGTCATGGCCTGCAAACATTCCTCCAATCATGACAAAGTCAGCACCGGCTCCTGTGATCAGCAAAGGGACACGTAAGAAAGCAGGGAAAGAAGGTGAAAGCCAAAACAAGAACACAGCAATCTCCAGAAACAATAGCCAGCATTTAACAGTTTGGTATGGAATCCTCTCCTGTAACAATCACAGCAAACTTGGAAGAAAAACTTTGTTGTAGAACTCACACAGGCTGAATTGTATTTCTCTGGTACTTTAAATGGAAAAAACCCTTTTCTGTTACAATGACAAAAAAAAAATAGATTATTCTACTCTACCCCACAGTCTTTTATTTTCAAATTCAGTTTTAACCCTTTACTTCATAATAGTATATGAGCACGATTCCTTATTAACTGAGACTGCAGCAACCAGAAGTCCTAAACACAGGGCTGAGACCTGTTGAGCTCAGTGTTGTACAGAGAAGTGCATGGTTTCTACTTCAAGAGCTTTCTCAGCCACAAGTGGTGAGTGGGAATCTACCCTGAAGGAAAGCAGACTCATGAATGTAATGTAATCCTCCCAACAATGACATAAAACAAACAGATTTTTAACTGAAATTACAGATTTTTCAAGTCCATCAGCTGTATGTGTTCAGTGTCATTCTGGATGATTCCTAGTCAAAGAGATCTGGATGGGTCTGTATTTGGTTCCTGTTTAAAAATTCTGGGCCAAGGACCACCACTCCTGGGTTCTGTGGTTCTCAGCATGTACCACAAAGGAGGTCTAACCCATAGCTAGAACATCTAGATATGTTCCAGATACTGAGTAGCAACACTGAATACTCAGTCATGACTGTTCAGTCTGTCTATCTCCTCTGGCTTTGTAAATCATGAAATCAGCTCCACTGGGAGTAAGATCAGGAAGACAGTTTTTGGAATCATTCTTAATTTTCTACTGTGATCTCCAATATTTCCAGCTGGGCTGGAACTATTCCACCAGCAGCTCCTCCTGTGATATTCTGGCATATCTAGTCTTGCTTGGAAAAGTTTGGCTTTTAGTTTTTTATGAGCCTGTGTTGACCCACCCCTGAAACAAAGCATTTTTCTGTTCATACTCCCTGCTTCTTCAACATGTATGTGTCAAAACAGGCCTCTCCTCTGCTGAGATTCTTCCCAGAACTGAGCTGTACACTACTTTTCACAGAAAGCAGATGAGCCTGAACTACAACCATCCTTCTAAGAACACATCCAAACTCTGGGGAGATCCCAGACTAGGTAAGTCTGGCATTAGGATTTGCTCTTATCTCTGTCACTACCCAAACAATAGCACCAGACCTTGAAATCTGAAAAGTAAGTGATATCCCTATCAAATCTGCTCAGCTTCTGCCAAACCTGAATTTGGGAATACTTTGATCTTAGAACACATGACAAGGGTGAAGTGTGCCAGTTCCTCCCTCTACCCCTTTGCCAAAGAGCAGAGCTGGCAGCAGTGCCTGAGGGCAGAGCACCCATCTGCTCTGCTGACCTCAACTCCCTTTGCCTGGTGGCTGCTTGAAAGGAACACTGTGTCCATGGTAAAGGGATACTAAAAATGAAGCTTGTGCAAACCACATCACAAGCAATATTTATAGCCAGGCACCCAATCAGGTGTCCTATCATGTCAGCTACCTGGCACATTTCTCCTGAGCTCTCTTGTTTCAGATGGCTGAGTTTTAAAGTCTTGGTTCGATTCATGTCTGCTACTACTATTAACCTGCCAAAAATGAAGAGAATACTCACCTTTTAATTACTGGTGGTAAGTTCCTGTTGCTACCTAGCACAACCTTGCTCCATCTTTTAAAAAAAATAAGCACCCTGGGAAACCTAGTTTATGTCTCCTTCACAGGTGGAAGAAAACATGAGAAAAGAGGGACAGATTTGAGATCAAGGCTGCAAAGAGGGCGTTTAAACAAGTCAAAAGCCTGCTAAAAGACATTCTGGACTCTGCCTTGTCAATAGTATCTCCTGATCCCCAATTCTAGTGCCATTTTTGGTGGGTCTTACAGTCTTCAAATTAATAATGCAAAAGGCACATGAAATCTACACTTCAGAATCACAGAATTTTAGTTCCTGTGCACTTCACTATCTATTTATTATTTTCCTTTTGGCTGCATATTTTTGGGAGAGAAGCAAATATGTTTGAATTACAGGATTGAAACTCATCCAACTTGAGTAACTTTTGCAAACTACAACATAATTCATCAAGCTCTTCCAGAAGAGAGGAGCTATGTTATAGCAGATGCAGCACGTCTAAACATTGAAATGACACATGCTTGCTGCCCTGCTGCTCCAGAAATGACAAGCCCATATTAAATATTCTTCTCCAATGTTCTCCAGAACCTTCCACTGTGCTTCAGTGTTGCAAAGATACCAGAAAATTTCAAGTCTGTTCCATTATGCTTCCATCAGTTAATATCTGACAAGGAGGTTGTAGTTTTTAGCATGGTCTTTAACTTACGTTTTTCTTGTATAACCACTGGAAGCACTAGTGATGCTTGCAACATCCACCTGCAGTCTTTTGTTTTCAAGTACAGATTGACAGCATGACATTATTTTAGGTTGTGGGAGAGTGGGAACACCTGGCAACAACCCCCTAGATAACACAGAATGTGATGGGCTATGTTGCACAAAAGCATCCCAGTAGCTCACCCAGAGCTGGCCAGACGTGTCCTGGTTTTACACAATGCCACTTTCGCGCACTGACTTTCCCCTTGAGGCCTATGCTGTATCTGGGCTGATTTTGCTATTCACATTTCACAGTGCCTCCTCTTTCAAGCCATTACAGAATAGCAGTGCTGACACCAGCCCAAGCTTGCAGCACTCACACAGTTCTGCTGGATCTGGATAGAGTCCCTCAGATGTCTTTTGTATGCCTGATTATACAAGTCACTGATAACCAGATTGGCTCTGCACAAATTCAGCTGGAGTCAGCCTGGATTTGTGAGCTGGGCAGCCCTCCAGGCAGATGCAGCGTAAGTTTGCCTCGACCAGAGCTTGCCCTGGAATTAACATTCACCTGTGCTCCAGCTGAGCCAGTAAGCTTTTGCAGCAGTAGGTACACACACAGCTGCTGGAAAAAAAACGGAGAAAAAGCCAGTGCGATCTGGTATAATTTGAAACTAGTGTATGTCCCCAGATGACTTTTCCATATGATTTTTCTTTCCTTTTCCTTCCCTGCTCCTGCATCTCTTCTCACCACTGCTGTAAGGAACAGCAGTAATGTGTTAAAGATGCTGGCATAGGATTCAAAAGGCACATTCTTTCCTGGCTATGTCATAAAAATATATGTGACCTCAGGAAATTGAACTTAATACTTCTGCGCTTTGACTTCTCATCATTAAAAAAGGCGACAGTAGTGCCTCCCTGGAGCACTCTGAGAAACGCGTTCATGTTATCAGCCTTTCCAAGGGTTCTGTTGTATGAACCATCTAAGAGGCCAGCATTAATTTCTTTCATGCTTTATCACATTCCTGCATCAAAACAGCTCTTTTCTTTCCTATCAAACTACATACATATTTTTCATTATCATCTCTAATATCCAGATGGCAGTGACATCTTCAGTTTACTGAATCCATACCAGGTTCCCACCCAGTGGTTCCAGAACTCCAGCACTCTCCCAAGTATGTTTCTCCATGCATTTCTGTCCCTCACCTTCAGTGCTTCCCTGTTCCTTGCATTTTTAAATAGGCTTCTACCTTGTTTCCCCTCTGTCAAAATGCCCAATCTGCCTCTGAGTCCTGATACCAAGTCAGAGGTGTCACCTTAAAGCTTCTCAACATCTATTTCTCGGCTCTTCACAATTCTCTCACTCAATCCAATCTACTCCTCCTATTTCCATGAACTTGGCTCCTCTCCAGTGACACCTTTAGCCATTTGTCAGTGCTTGTCCTCACGTCTGGGACTCCCTCACACTTCCCATAATTCAAATAGATGTTCTGTCACTGCTTTATAGGGAATCATCCCATCCCATGAAGATTTTACAGCAATCTACCAGAAAGAGATGGCATAATTACTTTAACCAAAGTCCTCTTCTTGTCTCTTCTTGCCCATGCTTTGTCCAGACCTTCATCCCTAGATGAAACTGTAGATCTGGGTGTTTTATTACCTGGCCTTTGCTATCCAGTACACTCATGTAATTCAAGCACAGAGGTCCATGCCAGACAATTCAGTATCAAGGCTTTGACTTGTAAATATTGGACATGGTGGCTACATTCTACAAAGCTCAGCCAATCACTTCAGCAGCATTCAATAAACAATGATAGTAATAATGTTATGTCAAAGCTTATTTTGCCACATACCTTTGACAAATACACATCTGGGTCCAGCTTGTCAGATGTTTACAGTGTCTACCTCAAGTGTACATAACCAGATACAGTAAGTTTACTGCCTCGGGGTCATCTCCATCATTTCCAGCTCTGCAGCTGTGACACACAGTCACACTGATCTATTTGGGTTACTATCAAGAGTACAACTACTGCCTGGAAAATATCAGCTTTCTGATGCTCCTCTCTCCAAGGGATAATTCTGTGGCAGCCTTCAGACATGCACCACTGTGAATCCCAGCACCTCTTGATGAACAGCAAAGCCAGAAGCTGTCTCATCATAGGTTTCAAGCAGGTTCAGGTTCAGTTAGCCCAAAGAGACTACAAGGATCTTTCAGACTTGTAATAAACACTACAAAGAAAAACATTTGAAACACTGTGAAGTTGCTTCCTGTTGTTCTAGCTCCTGGAAATGCTCTTGTTGAAGAAAGACCTTTTCCACAGGCCAGGTTTCTGTACAGACAGCAGGGAATACAGTGAGGTCACAGTTTCAGTTCACAAGCTCCCAAGGACCACACCACCAGCAAGAACTTGGTGAGCTGTGGAGCCAGAGAAAGGCAGAATAAAGACCTCACTGCAGGCAGCATGTCAGAGTCGGGGCTGAGGAGAGCTTGGGCATTTTTTAATACAATCTTGTTTAAGAGGAGGGATGCTGCTATTCAGCTATGTTGAATCACCCAACTGGAAGTATCTACTCCCTGCATCACATCACCACTGGGTAACACAAGGGTTATAAGAAATCCTCTGAGCAAGCCCATTCATTGCTGGTAGCAATCCCTCTACAGCTGTCCTTAGAATTCTCTAATGAAGTCTTCCTTGTCATCTGACCTGTCTCAAAACAGAAACTATCTGCAAACTTAGAAGACAGATTTTGGTTTCAACCTTTCCAGGAGGCCTAGAGTTTTTCTTGGCAAGTCTATAATCTGAGTTTAGGCCTGCCTCTACTTCCCATAATTGCAAAGCTTCCTGCAAAGCAGACATTTTGTATCATAATGTGCTATCTCTTGTTTTCATACCACCCTGAAATCCCAGTGAGACTGTGCTGTCCCACTGTATTCCAGGCATTACCCTACTTGACACCTCCAAAGGGTCTGGCATTTTGGGAGAGTGGGGGAGTACCTTTAAATATCTTGTCGTCTCAGGATGCACTTAGCACCTGCTTCCCATATGCTGCTGTAACAAGGTTATGGCTAAGTAACAATCGTGAGTTTGACCCCCCCCCCCCAATACCAACATAACTTTCATGCCCAACAGACAATACTTACAGATTACATCTTCTATCACTAAAAGCTGGTGCAATTCACTGAACTTACTGACATGAAAGCAAAATCTGTTAATTATTAACTTAGATGTTTCAGCCATCTGCCTAGCTCTAGGGAATACGGTATAAATAAAATCTCATCTCTTCAAGTGGACAGCTGATCCCAAGAACATCTCCAGGGATCTGGCCTGCCTTTTTGTTTTGTTCTTCTGTCCAACATGCATTCCACCAGCTCTCCTTCCACTCAAGGCTCAAGTCAGCCAGATCTGGCAATGTTACAGGTATCTCTGAACCCTACTCAGAAGAAACCCTTATCAGCTTTCTTCGTATTACCCTCCCAGCAGCTGTATCTCATACACACCTGGCAGATACTTTCTAAATAGCACTTTGACCACTCTACATTTTGCACTGAAGAATTTGTACTGTCTATTCCAAAGAGCAAATTCATGCCTGGTGCATTAATTTCACTGGAGTCAGCTGCAGGGACTAACATAACCTCCTCCTAATTTATTACACATTCAGGGTCACACCGACTCAGGCATCCCTGCTGCCAGGGGTGCTGGAGACACGTGGGTGTGTCATAACACACCATCCTTACCAAACGCTTTGGCGACATCTCCTGGGCAGTTGCATCCTCCATCCTGCACAAAGAAAAGAGACAGTGAGTGGCAGCGAGGTCACTCAGGGACCCAGTGAGCACTGGAGCTCTGCGACCTGCAGCACTGTGGCCCTTGCTCAGGAACAGCGTGTCAAGAGAGCTGACCGTGCACTTGGGATGTATCATCTTGGCTACGTTTTCAGGGAATCCAGATAATCCTTTCCACTGCTTACCTCCTTGAGGCTCACCCACTCTACTGTACAGTCTACTGATAATACCACTGGTAACAGCCGCAATGAAAATTCCTGGCTGCAAGTTTCCAAATCCCAGAAACCAGAAAACAAAACCCTCTCTGATGATCTGAATCATCCCCTGCCATTTTAATGAAAGGCTGTGTGATGCAGAGGTACCATAAGCCTCTACCTTAAACCACCGAAGACATTTAAAATAACTTTCTCAGCACTTTACAATATATTAAAAGGTCACAGTGGGAGGGGAGAGGGAATATACCATCAGTTATGATGGATTTTTATCTGATAATCTCTAACAAACTGGGTTAATACAATCTTTGGTAAGTGAAAATGAGCCTCTCATCCTACTCCTTACTGTTTGCTATGGGCTTGGTAAGGAAACAACAGCACTCTGGACCTTTAACATTTTAGACCTATGTATTTCAGTTTCAGTGCAATGCAGTGTCTGATGAAGGGGGTTCAGTTGAGGGGAGGGAGGTTGTGTATGTGTGATAGAGCTGTAAAAAAGGAATGGCACACAGCAGAGCTCATCATGTGCTATGATTCTTTAGGATGTGTAAAGGTCTGAGCACCAGATGAAAGATCCTTTAGTCTATACACAGTCATTGTACCAGGAGAGCTCCCCATTCCTTTGATGATCTGGATCCGTTGCAGACAGCCAGCATCTTTCCTGCTTTTGAAGCTACCCCCACACTGGCCAGTTACCTCACGCTGTTTCACCTCCCTGTTGGCAGAAATGTGTGGCTGTGCATGACCTGCGGCCGAGCACAGCCAGACACCCCCACCATCAGCCACAATAGAGCTGGCTTTGATGGGCAGCTGGCAGCAGGGCTGTGGGTTAGAAACTCTGTGAGCGCAGAAAAGGATTCAGACACAAACTGAGCAGGTGGATCCAAAAGTGAGTGGCTTTTCAAAGGGCACCCCACTGCAAACAGCATCTGGTAGAACTTTAAAGGCTTTTATTCCATTTGCTGATAACCTCTAGCACATTATGCCTTTTGTTGAGCTTAGACACCCTTGCTGTCATCTCCAGGAACAAGTGCTGGGCTGACAGCTGAATCTCTCTCTCCTTTTAAGCACTCTGCTTGTGCAATTCTTTCCCTTTAACAAGTCTGTCATAGCCTGGAGGAGGGTGTGAGTATGCGTGCATGTGTCAGGGGAGGAAGAGCCAGGGTAGAAAGAAGGGTCTAATAATCTTCAAAGAACAGTTTTAGGTCTCTCACTGTCTGAAGAGACACTGGCTTTGAATGCTCTCTGGTAGATGGGCTGCAGTCAGTTGTTTTTGGGTGGCTCAGTATCTGACCTTTGTAACTAACCCAGTAGAGGCAGTGATGAAGGTTTTATGAGGTACCATGAGAATGGGGGGCCTCACTGTGTAACCATTAATCACCAGCTTCAAAAAATATCACTTTGAATGTTACCAAATTACAAAATGCTGAGCAGCTTAAGAGACTTGTCTAAAAGCTCACAGGTTACCATTTAAGATAAAAGGAACTGACAATGATGATTCACAGCCCTTCTTTATCTGTAGATGTCTCCAGTTAATTCAGATAAGCAGGTAAATTTAGTGATTCATAGAAAGGGAAACAAAAAGGGAACATACTAAGCAGTTATGTCAGAAGATGCTATATAATAAAACCAGATGCAGTAAAGCACTTCATTCCATGTGAAAAAGCAGGCTTTCTGTTTACAAAGACTCTTCTGCTGCTGCATTGCCTTGGAAGCTTCCCCTTGAAATTCAGCTTGTCCCAACAGGGCCCTGGGCCTGGGTTCAAAATGACTTGTACATGTAGGCTTCAGTTACAGAGCTTGCTGGAGGCTCAGCCTCTACCTCAGAATCCTGGGGAAATTTATCTATAAAAATCTGCTTCTGAATTCAGGAGAACTGGCATAATACCAAAGTAAGACTACTGGAAAGGCTTACGGTCATGGAATCTGCAGACAGCATGATTCTGAGCCAAGTGGGTACTAGGGAGAAGGACAGGGGAAAGCAGCTTTCCAGTCAACAGAATTACTTTCATGTGGTTGAAGTAACATTTTTGTCCTCAGTCTTGTTCTCCAGATAGATAAGCCATTTTACAGCAACAAAATTGGAAAATCAGTATACATTTAGTTGAACATTTAGTATTATATGCAATTTATAATGAGTTTATAACTATGATTTGTGTTTCAAGCAATCTTTATAATAAACTGCATAACCAGTGCTTTCTGCAGTATCAGAAAACAGATAACTATTTATTATGCAGAAGATATATAAAGTATGTGGCTTATGCAGCAGTAAATACAATACACATGGTGCTTTATTCTGAACTACGTACACCAGGTATATTTATGTGTGGAAAGAGTTCTGTGTGGAAAAAGGGACAGTATGGCAGCAGCTGGGTGAAGAACCCTTAGTCATTCTTTTCACTGAATGCTGGTGACCTATCACCCAGGCAGGGAGAAAGGGAAACAGGGATCTCTGTCAAATGATAGCCACATGAGAAAGGACACATGCAGGGCTGTTTTCCATTCCGCACATTGCTGGCTTACTAGAATATGTGACTGCCTCTCTGTCCAGCAGAGGACTTCTCTGACCTACAAGAAACATCTCCAGCAGGCCCGCCTCCACTGTAACTCACTGCAGCACTTTCTCAAGGCCAATGGATTAGCAATGAAAATTGAGACTACTGGCTCCGAGGCAAACATCATGGGACAGAAACGATGCCTGTATCTTAGGGAGGGTTTCCTCTCTGCTTTCAGTGAGTCATGAAAGATTAATTTCTGAGGTGAGCATTGAGTCTTACAGATAATTTAGCATGAGGAAAGTAACTGGTGCAATTTTACCTCCTACTTCTCTGTGTAAATGACTAGACAGACACCAGGTGTTCACTTGGACTATCATGTTTGCCTGAAAATTGTCATCTTCCCTGTCAACGAATCAGTTCCAAAAAATACATGGTAACTTCAGTAACAGGAATGTTTAAAATCCCAGTTTGTGCTCCCATCCTAGCAGAGCTCCTGAAGATCAGGGTTCAGTCGTGCTGTGCTCTCTGCAGTGCCTATGCTGTGCTCAGCACCACCACTTCCTCATTCTGACAGTAAGACTTCTTTTCCTTCATATGGAAATTGTACCAACATAACAAGAATAAGGAGTTAATTTGATGAAGGTACTGGACAAAACAGAAGTGGATACAAGAAAGTACCCCAAGGGACTAGCCCGTATCACACCATTAGCTATAATTTCATGAAGCTAGCTAGTAAGCTTTGAATCTTTTCACATACTTCCTGCTACTTCCATATTAACATAACAAAAATTGCTGTACACATTTTCTCCTGGGAAATTGACACAGATATCTATGGTAATACTCTGCCTGTAGGGATTTCTTTTGGCTCAGGAAGGGTGAGTCCCTTCTTCAATCCCCAGAAAGACAGCAGTGAGATATTTTGAGGGATGCCAGGTATACTTGTTGCCACCAGAACCAATTCTATACTTGAAATTGCTGCCACATGTTGCTTTTCTGTCATGAGGATTCCTCTCTTCCATGATATTCTTCCCAGAGCTCTGGCAACAGCCATGCAGTCCAGCTTTTTCTTTCCCTAATAAATATACCAACACCCTCTGAATACTCCAGAATTCAGGCATAATGTCCTTACCCTTGCTTTACTCTTAGATTGGGTGACAGTTGAGCTAAAGTGATGTTAGAGACTCCAGCCACAGCTGAAGGTATTTCTCTTGGCCCAGATGTTGGTAGCAGACAGGTATCAAATTGCCCTCCTATATTCCTCTATAGGGGGCTGATAGGTGTGGGATCACTGAAACCTGTGCAAGATGAGAACTGATCCATTCCCAAAGCAGGAGATACAGTATAGAACCACCTAATTTTTCAACAGTCTGAACACACACTCCCTGTTGTCTTATAAAATCAGGATACAGCATTCTTCTGAGGACTGCTGGCAGAAAATGATTATTGCAAAACTAGGATGGGTCTCTGAGCACCACTGCTAGGATGACACCTATACTTATCCAGCCTTCACAGCAACGAGTGAAGCTTTCATGCTCTATTGCACACATGTTCTACTGTCTATTATAGACAGAAACATTTGCAATACTGCCCAAGTCATAAAAATCACATACTGCTTCTCTTTTTTTCTGCAAAATTCATATAGAGGAGCCATGGAGAGGAGGGACTGCATATTCATTAACAGTTAAGAGCAAGAGAGATCTGACTATAACATGTTCGTTCTTCATTATACTCCAAGAGATCCAGTCAAACCCTTGACCCATCCCCAATCAGTTTGTTTTCCTCTCATCTCCCTCCTCAACAACACAACACTCCTCCTTCCTCACATGGATACTAGTCCCAACTGGGTCAAAGAAACCAAGGCCTTACAGTGATTTCACTTGGCAGTAGATCTAAAATCCAGTATGTGGTCTCTCCCAAGGTGGCAGAGGGAGGCTGCTGGCTGTGAGCACAGCACACAGGTGAGGCCCTGTGCCCTCCCCATGAGCAGCTGCCTTAAAGGCAGCCTGCAGAGGCTGTGCCAGCCTGGCATGGCCAGGACACGCTGACTGCCTGTGTGTGCCCATGCACACGGGGCCTTTGGGTGCTGCAGACTGCCCTCTAGCTCAGTCTGGGGCCATGCTTACCAATTCATTTTCTCTCTGTGAGGTGAATCTGGTCTTGCTGACAAGAGTGGAAACTGCCATTAGCAGGCGATACAGACAGATGCTCTTTTTCCTCCACAGGCTCGTTATTTCCCCAGAGCTTAGTGAGAACACAAGGGGCTCACGTGCCAACTGTGCTCAAAAGAGCCACCTCAAACACTCCTGCCCCTGCACAGAGAGCTCTGTGAGGATGCTATCTGAATCAATCCAACTAGGGCACAGATGGGCTCGCATCATTTTACGTTGTGCTCCCCTCTACTGCCTGTCTGCCCCTCAGTCACACTCTGAGGAAAGTCATGTTTACATTCCACCCCTTTTTCAGAAGTCTTTCATTGGAATTACTGTTTGCTTCAATAGTGAAAACAGTATCAAGCTTCCTATTCTGTTTACATAACAGCTTACTCCATTCAGGGAGAAGGAAGCAGATTTTGAAAGTCATAAACAGGAGTGAGGTTCCCACATCTTTTTAATGTTAGGGAGTTGGTTTCTTTATATCTGGATCTCCACTGACTGTCCTAGGAGCTAATACAGGAGTCAACAGGGGATGACAGAAGGGCAGGCTTTAACATGTAAGGTACTAGATTGTTTGATTCTCCTGCTCCACAACGATTTGCACAGTGGGAATCTGAGAGTAGATGATAGTTACTTACAGAGATGATATGTCCTTTCAAGCCATGTGCTGAGTCCGCACACTCAATAACAGCACTTAGCTGTGGATAGCCCACCCCTGTCTTAATCCGAGTGGTACACACAGAACCTAGACAAGAGAACAAGAGGAATAAACATAAGCCCATTAGGATGACAGAAACGATACAGAAAAAAATGTGTTTCTATCAGCATTATTTCTCTCTCAAGAAGTCTATATTGCCAGTGCTGGCTTCTCACAGATAAAAGCAAAACATAGGAACTTGAGTTCTGAAATGCTCACTCGCCACTTCATGGGAGCTGTGGCTGAGTAGACTAATGTCCTCCCTTTTTTCTCCAGGGCTAGTCCCAGTTTAGTTCTCATCAGTAATGCTTCTCAGTAAGAGAATTACTGCATCACAAGAAAGCAAATCTGACTGAGGTGCCTGAAGGGAAGGGACAAAAGGACCAGAATCACAACCTGAGGGACTCTTGCAGCAGCATTTATTACCTGACTACTTCTTCTAATAAGTACATTTATCTCTTTTCTGCATGTTTAAAGAAGTAATTCTCTGGCCAGAAACATTTGGTTTTGGGCAATATAAAAAAATCAGCTCACAGTATTTAAAAATGAGATAAACAATCATCTGAAAGCTGTATAGTCCAACATCAAGGGAAATATATGAACTATATCTAATCATTGAACTATATTATTTATATCCATACATTGTGCATGAATGTATAGAAAAAAAATGTGTATATATGTGTGTATATATATATACACATACAATTTAATTACAGTTCAACATAGCAACATGGCTATAGACCTCTTGGAATACCTTCTCTATTTTTTTCTTTAAATTAAGAGTCACAATGAGGACTGCTTTTTGCCAGTATAGGTCCTATAATTTAGGATACAGACCTAAAAGGTCTGCATGATAATGAGAATTTCAAAACCAAAAGATTCTGAACCAAATGCAGTGAAATCTGGATCCCTTCACTCAGCTGATATCCAGATACACTCAAGCTACCAGTAAAGCAAAAGTTACTGAAGATCCTTCAAAGAACTGGCAAAGTAAAAACACTAAGAAGAATTCTTGCAAAATAGTAAGAAAATTAGTTTTAATATGATTTCCACAGGGCTTGTATTTTATAGTGTATGTAATGCTTTATAATAAATCACTGCCATTTTCCACAGGATGGATCATTATTTGGAAAAGAGCCTCAAGACCTGAGGGAGAAACATTTGTTACTTGTGGGTTTGCATGGTCAACTTGTTCAGATCTGTTCAGGAAGGCCTCCAGGGAAGACTATACAGCATTTACATCAAACATTTTCCATGTTTGAGGCTACAAAGTATAATTATTCTTCTTTTAAATCTGAATTTGTCCATGACAATTACACCATGAAATCTCTGTTATTTATTCTTCATCTATTTTGCAGTATTTATTGTCTGGTATCTTCCCGGGCACAACTGCAATGTTTATTACATTTTTTTGCAATGTTTATTACAACGTTTTCTCTGCTCCAGTTATCCATTCATGGACCATAACTATCTGGCACTGCAGAGTAAACAATCTGCCTGCACTGCACTGGCTGATCACAGCTATACTGTCAGTGGCATTTGTGTTAGCCACTTCAAAATCTAGCCCACATATGGAGACTCCAGCTGCAATCTAAGAAGAAAATAGCAAGAGAAGGAACATGTGAAGGAAGGCACAAGGAAGGGAAAAAAAAGAAAAAAAAAAAAAAAGGAAGAGGAAGAGGAAAATAGATAGATGATGGCAGTGTATGCCAGACAACAATATTGGGGAAGACAGAGAAAACAGTGTAAGAAGTTCAGGATCCTCTTGTTTATCCATGGAAATGTTAGAGTGATAGATAGCATGTAAGTGCATAAATGTAAATTTTAGCTCCCAGGCAATAGTAGCAGGAAGAGGCAAAGTTATCAGTATTTCACAATTGACGCCATTTCATCTTTGAAGACATTGACAAGAATAACCTCAGCTTCACAGAACACAAATCATAAATAATTTTCTATTCAGAAACCCATCTTTCCTTGATAGAAGTGGACACCTGAACACAGTATCCTTTGAGCTTTAGCTTGGATGACTCATCCTCTTTTCAACAGGCTAGAAAAGTATTCCCAAACACAACACATTATCAGTGATAATGTCAGGAACTCAGGCAGCCCAGTGCTTCCAATAACAGGCATCTTCACTGACTGAAGGTGCAATATGCAACACCGTGCAGTATGAAACTCCAGCACCCTGTGTGTGTATTTCTTAAACATACCATGTGTGCAAGCTCACTGGTACTTCATTTTGCTGAGAGGATCTTGCATTGTAACAGGCAAGAAAACAGCATTATACACTTGTTCCATCTGGACAACTCCTCTACCAGTGGTTCCAAAAGCCACCCTTATTTGACTTACCTGGTCCAATACCCACTTTAATAATATCTGCTCCAGAAATAATAAGTTCTTCTACCATCTCTCCTGTCACCACATTGCCTGCCTAGAAAGAAAGAACAGCATCACATGTATAGGAGATCTCAAGACTGCTGCAGTTAAGACTAAAGATGATAATGTAAAGTTTTATCTAGAGCTTTTACAAGTTGAACTATACAGAGTATGGAAGAAAACAGTTCACCATACTGTTCCTTAAACGTGCCACTGAGACTAAACCAGTCATACAGGTAAATTCTCCAATCAAATGAATTTTACAATTAGTCCAGTAAACCCTGATACTTAGCATCCCATCAGGAGATCTGCTTTGTCATCCATCCCCCTAATCCTCACCTAGAGGCTCTCAAACACATCATTCCTAACTACAGGGGTTATTCTTCTCATATACAGTGAACTCCTCCACCTCTCCTGCCCTACCTATCTCTCCTGAACAGCCAAGAGATCTCCATGCCTTTTGTCTAACTCCCTTTACAGGAAGTTCAGATCTTGTTTAAAACACTGGAAAATACCTTTTTCCTTTAGGATTCAGTATTTTGCCCACTGAAAGTAAGGCACTAGTCTTCTAATTTTGTGCATTGGTGCCAAAATTGGTATGTACATACAGACTATATAAATCTGAGCATTCACACCATATACATACATTTGGTTGTGGTGACATTACTGGTTAAAAACAGGGGTTTGTTTCCCTCTGCATGACCTTTGTAGTGATACAGAGACCATGCTATTTAGGGTAACACCCTTAAGTTCTGATTTGGTTTGTGTTCTTTACTATATTTTTCCTTCCATTTCAACAGCTCTTTTCCTCCTTTTGCCTACATTGTTATCTTTGCTGAAAGTGAAGGCAGCTCTCTTGGCATTTGCCTTGCTTCTTCTAGAAAACTTCTTCTATTGGCTCTCCACACCCCTAATGAATTGCTTAGTCTTTGTCTGCCCTCATACCATACTTCCTTGAAGTCATACCAGACAGATCTTTCTTGAACCTCAAGAATGAGAACTAACCACAGTGGTACAGGTGAGTTCTGTTCTCACCAAGTTCTCAGAGCTTTACACAATGCTTGTCTTTTCTATGGAATTATCTTGCCTGACACACAAAGAATGCATTTGCCTGTGTCACACTGGTGGCTCACAGTCACCCTGTGATCCACTTATGCCTCCAGGATCATTTACCCATTCCAAATTGTAGCAGAAACTTGCAGAACTTCCCCTGATACTGTGTTACCTATTCCTAGAGTAAGGTTTTTCACACGTGGTTTATTGTGGCCCTCTTCTGTCAGTGCCTCAGCTGGGTACAAGGCCTGTAGTAACATACCATGAGACACAGATTTTTCTGGTCCATGGATGCTGTGAATGCAGAGAATGCCAGTGTGATGAAATTAGATACTTTTAATAAAAGAAACTACAAAACAACCTTCTAGCACACACTTGGGTAACTGGCTTGTAAAACTGGTGCAATAAGTGCAGAGAGCTGCCAGTCTATTTCTATTCAGTTAAAGAAACATTCTGATGCAAGCTCAGTGTGACATGACAGGCCCTTGCATGCCTCTAACTGTGGATCTGATGGATCAGTAATCACAGTAAGGCTAGTGATTAATTCCCTTGCCTGGAGTATCCTCTATCCAGATGATTTTTGGGGAAAAGACAGTCTTCAAACAGCAACGATTTCAAATGACATTTGAATCCTATTCAGAGCAGATTTATGAGCTAAAACCTACGCTTTGAGTTACATTTGAAAACAAACTGTTATCCAGTGCATTTTCAGACCACGCTTTCCTCTCTGCAAAGGGCTGCACAAGGCAAATGAATGCTGACATAGCACACGCTGAACTGACTCACTACAGCTATACTAATTGCATTCCCATACTCTGAGAGAACATTGTAGAAGGAATGCAATCCTATAAATTGCACCCCACAATTTAAGGAAGATGTGAAGGTCTTTGAATGTGCCAGAAGAAGGTAGCAAAGCTGGTGATGCAACTGAAAGGCAGGTACTGAGGGGAGTGGCCAAGGCAATGGATTCATCTAACTTGGAGAGAAGGCGGCCAAGGGGCAACCTCATTGCTCACTACAGCTTCCTGAGGAGGGAAGTGGAGAGGGAGGTGCTGAGTTCTCCCTGGGATACAGTGACAGGATGCATATGAATGGCTCAAAGCTGTGTCCCTCAGGGAGGTTCAGACCTGACTTGAGGAATCGGTTCTTAAGCGAGAGGGTAGACAAACCCTGGAACAAGCTTCCTGAAGAGGTGGCCAATGCCCCATGCCTCTGTGTTTAGTTTCCCAGGTCTTCCCTCACACCCTTCCTGTAAACTGGAGTAACATCATCTTGCTTTCTGTGAGCAGGAACCTCCCCAGACTCCCAAGACCTTTGATAGGTGATGAGAGGGGTCCTGCTCTAACATTTGCTAGCTCCTTCAGTACTTTTGGACAATTACAAACCATGTTTGGTTTGTATCTCAGCTCTGCGGCTTGTCTCACATCTACAGAACATTCCTAACTAGAAAAACTGCACAAGATAAATCTCCAGTTTTCCACATCAGCTGTTTTGCACTTTTTACAAAAGACAGGCTATTCATTTCTGGAGATCTGAATTTAGATGTAGGGATGTTCAGAAAACTTCTTACATAATGATATTGCAGGACTTAGCAAGTGTTTGTAGCAGTACTGATATGGGCAGAGAAGGAAGCAAATTCTAAAGACCTCAATTAGTATTTTCTTAGCTTTTATTCAAATGTAACTACTGCTGAAGTCAACAGAAGGGTACCCAGGGAATACTGGGCAAGGCCTGTTCTCCCCTTAATGATTTCTGACTCCTATTTTATAATTTATTTATTTTTACTGAATTTTGCTTCCTCCTTTTATTAGCTTGAAACAGCTGACAAGCCACCACCTGAAGCACTTATAAAAACAATGATAATATCAAGCAGCAATTTGTGGTCTATGATACAGAACTGCTTAACTTTGCTCAAAAGAGCATGATATTGACTAAAAATAAAATAAAATAGAACAATCAGGAAATAAAGAATATATAATAGGCACAGTGTTTCAGCTAAGTGCTGCTTCCTTTCTGCTCAATGGTAATTTGTTAGTATATACTAAGTGCTGCACATTCCAAGGTGGGATGATGGAGTGTGCCACTTAGGACATGAGGGAAGCAGTTTACCTCTGGAAGGCAGATGACCACCTTTGCTGTATGACACACACCACGTTACAACTTGGTAAAATACTGGAATACATTCAAAAATTCATAAATAGGAAGGAACAAGTCAGTGGTTTCATGAGATTTGGGATCAAACATGTATTTAACTTAAACAGCAGTGTCTTCTTATTAGCAGAGCATAGAGGGTTGTCAAACTGTCTCTTCAGAAATGTTAACCAGACGTTTACTGTTAAGCTACTGCTAGAAAATGTTGGAACTGCATATGTTGGTTCAAAATGCTCATACTAGCAGGGAAAAACACTTATGTCCCCAGCATACATTTTTTCCTGGAATGCATGTACACATCACTGATTTCTGTCTTTCTGAATCTGCAGATCCTTAACAAATTTTCAAGGAAGACATGAAGCTCTACATAGCAGACTTCAACCTGCCAATGAGAGGCTTGCTTCTTTTAGGTACCTTCTGCAGACCTCAGAGAGCACAAAAAACCACTATGAGGGAGGCACAGCTATCTGTATGTGAAGAAACCCCAGTATGACAGCTCAAAGGAAATCAGTTTACTCACACTCAGCTGAACTCTGCTTTACTGAAACCAGTGCTTGCCTTACCACTGATACCAGTATAAACTGAGGCAGAAGAGCTTTTGAAGTCTCCACTGGTATGGTAAAGCCAGAATACTTCAACTTTAAAAAAAATATTAAAAAAAACCCTGAAAAGGTCAATAAAGAAAGTCTGAGACTACAGTTAGAAATGAAACCCTCTCAAATTAATTTTAAATAATAGAACACAATTGGAATGTGCACACTGAAGTCACTACAGACAATACACTTTGCAGTGTGTTTATACAAGTAGTCAGGGAACACAGAAGTTGATGCAAGTATTGTGATGTACCATCATTCAGTATGAGGTTTCAAGTGAACACCATCCTGGATCATTCCAGCACTATCCAGGATGACTGAACTGTGGGTCAATGGCCTCAGAAAAGTCAAAGGGAGTTTCCCTACTGACTTTAACAAGATCAAGATTTTACCTAACAGGATTATAAAGAGTACGGCTTCTCTGACAAAGATACAAAATTAGTGAACACAGTAGGGAAGTGCCTCTGAATTTCAGTCAGGCATTTGATACTGTGCCTCACGAAAGCCTGCTATAAATATCAACTCATACTGCCTAAGACAGGAACACTGCTGCACTGATTGAAAGCTTCTGGCAAATGGCAATGGATCGAGCTGGGGAGAAGTGTCTATGACAACAGTTCTCAAACTTTCTTCTTGTATCCTAGAAGAAAGCACAGTCTGTGCCTCCACATTATCAGGAAGACGGCCAAAGGACACTTCCCACCCACAAAAGCAAGGGGTGCTTAACCATGAGATGGAGGGAGATGCCCTTTGCAAGGTGACTGCCTGCATTCAGTATCGTGCCTGACCTGAGACAGGCTCAGCAGCATCACCCTCTCCTGTCCAGGGATCCTGCCTGGCCCCTGTTCTAAGACGTCAGCCCCGGTGGACATGCCACAACTGAATTTACTCTGGTGTGTGTTCCAGGGATGAACTGGGAGCAGTCTGCATGGCTTTCTCTGACTGATTCCAGCCTCCAGCTAAGGCCCAGAAAAGTTCTGTTACTGACTCCAAGGAGGAGCAAAAGTTTCTGGTTCCTGCTGTTTCCCTCTGCTTCTGCTTTGTAATTCAGCTTGTCTCCTTCTCTGGCCCACAATTTATGGGTGCTACTGTATCTCCAAGTGTGCTCCTGCCTCATTCTTCTTCCTGCCACACTCCCTGCTCCCCTCAGGGTTGTTCTTCTATAATGAACAGAGGAATACCACAGAAAGAAAAATTCAGCATAAAAACTTGGCAAACCTTGCTGGCAAAGATAACTTAGCTTGTAAACTGACTTTCAGGTTGATGGAATAACCCTAAAGTCTACAATTAAACTAATAAACAAGGACTATGCAACCTGTAATATAAAGGCTCTGATCCTCCATCATGAATGCTGACTTAAAGGTTTTCTTTAGACTTGAGCAAGCAAGCACAATGGATGTAGAATAATGCTGTGCAACAGTGAAACACTGTTTCACAATGGGTGATTCTCCTCAGGACCTTCCTGGTTTTGGGAAGCACTTGTGAGACACTCAGAAGACTTAAATATTCCTTCTTCCCCCATTCCCAACCTGATGAGTGATTTAAGACAAGTCACGTTGTACCTCTGTGTCCCTGTTTGTCTTCCCTACCCTTTGTGTTCCATGGAGAAACTGATCTTCTTTGTAAGTTAATACAAAAAGCAGTAGTGAAAAAACCTTGTGTCAGAACCAGGCAGAAGAAAATAAGGTAATGTGATTGTAAGTAAGTATTTAAAAAGACAGAAACATGCATTTGAAAGGTTGTTACACAAGAGACATATTCCATCTGGCAGGGAGTATTGGCCATGGAGAGTACTACATTAACCACAGCTGCTCTGCACATCCCCTGTGAACCTCAGAGCTGAACCCATTACGTGGCCCCTGGGAACACACATTCCCTAAGATCCAGGGTTGGGTTACTGTTATGTATTGCACTGCAGCTGACTGTGGAATGAATAGTCATGCTGAGGAAAGCAAACAAGACAGCCTGCAAGGTCCTGGAGATCACTTTCAGCTATGAGAAAGTGTCTTTATTTTTATACCTACTATTTAACTGCTAACCCTTTTGTTTGAAAGCCCCAACAGCAGAGAACATACTGCAGGCATAGCGCAGACACATCAAAGCATTCAGAACAGGTAGCAGCAGGACATGTCTTCCAGATTACCATTAAAAGAAGCCTAGACCAGCTCCTGCATTTCAGCCAGGAACAGCTTCAAAAGGCCATTTTGGCACAGAATGGGAATTCATTTGGAAGCAGGGTAGAGGTGGGTGTCTCTAGTTGAATCAGAGACCTTCAGGGACCAAACAGACCCTCGAGGCTGTGGGAAACTGAAGGTTTTTGAACACGCCAAGTCTGTTAGTATGCTTTTAGGGGTGGAAATTATCAGAGATGAAAAACATAAGCCATATTTAAGCCACATTCAGAGAAAGGAGCTACAGTCAGAGAAGGCAACTGATCAGGGCTGTAAATGTGCTCAAGCAGGTGGTGCTGTCAGGACAATGACACCTGAAGTAACAATAACCTTAGCCACAAAAGCAGAGACACTAGGAAGGCAGCAGAACAGTCATGGTAGGTAGATGAAACTGGCCTAAGAACCCTGGACTAAAATCTGGGCTTGACATCTGACTTTCACATTGACCTTTTCTGCCTTCTGGGGAATTCATCTTGGTTGATTTCCCTCCTCAGTCAGCAAAGTCATCAATCTGTGGAGAGGTAGAGGAAGGCATGACACACAATTTTCTTGACAGAGAAATCTTTGACAATTTAAACTCCCCCCACAACTCTTCAAAGACAAAGACACTGGAGTAATCATGTCACTAAGGACAATACTTCAGATACAAAGCAAGGAAACAGCTTCTTCCCTCATTGCAGGGTATATGAAGCAGAAAGCTCAGAAGGCCCACATTTATCATTTCATAGTTCCAAAATCTCTCTCCAAAGCCACGGGAAATATGACCACACCAAAGGGTTCCCACCTCTCCTGGCAGCTGTTGAAGAATGCCTATTCATTAGTCTATGATAATCCAGAACCCAACAAGTATTCCAGCTCACTTCAGTTTTCCATCATTCAGAAGCAAGAACACTGCCTTCCTCTGACATGGGAGAAAGTAATGCATCCTCCTCTGAGCTGCCTGATGCATGTTATTCTCTAATGAACCAAGGGAGAATGCACACTTAGGAATAGTCAATAGTCTTATTTCACATTTACTTTACATACATGAAGCTTTATCTCTGGCACGGAAAGCAGGCAAGTCTTGCCTAAACACATGATTTTTTGCTGCACTGGCTTGAAGAAAGGCTGGTAGCCTCATTACAGATCTGCTGCTTGTTTGAAGATTTCTGCTATTCTCATGGAAACAATTCAGACACATTTTTTCAAGAGCTCTTGTAAAGCAGCAGTAGTGCTCTGCTGCCAGGAGTTCCATGCCCATATGCAAACACCCTATTCTTAGTGCAAAAGGGCTCAAGGAAGCGTGGAATTAGCACTCTGTGACAGGATAGTAACATCACAGAAAGCACCACAAAAAGCCCTAGCACTGACCTTTTTGCTCTCTGATAATGCTGTTCACAACTACCCAGCATCCCTCTCACTCTTATCACGGGCAAGGATAAGTCTGCATTGAGCTGTCTTCATAGTGATCTAACAGTCATTGGCTCCAGCTGGCCAGAAATGTTGGCACACTCCCACAGCTAACCTCTGCTTGAAATCACCCAAATCGACCTGTAACACTTAACGATTAGAGGTCTCATCTAGTGGGGGAAAGAGGACACGAGCAGGAAGTGAACTGGATCCACCCAGTCCTCTGTGCCAACTTAATCAGACAGCTGTATCAGAGTACACACTAAACATTCCCACAAAAATCATCAGCAATGGAAGACGGACAATGCCAAACAGTTGTTTAACATCCTTCCTTGCTTCCCTTCCTTTTCTAGCTTCTGATGCCTACCAGTCAAACTCTGGGTCCTCTTCCTGGACAGAATTCACATACACACACACCCCCTTCCAGCCTTTCTACACACTTACCATAATGGTGTGATGTGGGAACAGGGCACGGACAGACTTCACAAACTCCACAAAATACTCTGAATAGCCATTTGCTACATCCAGGCAGATGAATCTGATAGCTGGAATGGCCTCTAGTATACTTGTTAACTTTTTCAAATCATCTTGTCCACTACCTGAGCTTGCTGCTACATGCTAAAAAAAACCAGAAAGAACAAAACAGAGTAGTAGGTTGCAGAAACTGAAATAAACACACACAATTTGTATGTCTTTTCCTGCATAGTCTTGGCGGGACTTGTGCTGGTATCTAGTGAAAAATCACACCATGCAGTATGAAATAAATACCTTCCTGCGAAAATCAGTGGGCTATTTCTGTCTTGTTTAAATGATATAAAAGAGAGGGAAATTAGCATTCTAGCATTCATTCACAAGTGGATTGTCGCAGGCTTATATAATCATCTGAGATCAATCAAGGTTCAGCCACACTCATATGAACATGAAGACGAAGCCCTAACTTGGTATATTTCCAGGAAGCTAGAGGCAAAATTTTGGGCACTGTCAGAGAGTAAAATCTGGGTCTTTAAGTTCACCAAGCACTCTTGTGATCTACAGAATCACAGAACAATTTTGTTTGGGAGGGTCCTCTGGAGATTTTGTAGTACAATCCCCTTTCTCAAGCAGGGTCAGCTACCATTGAAAACAAGCAGATTGCTTGTCTTCCAATGAGTTCTTTCCAAAAGAAAAATAGTTTCCACAGCTGTTGGCCTACAAACCCTCTGCAGAAATCCAAGGTCACAGTGCAAGTCAGTATTTAATCACTACAGGAATAGGAGATCCTATTCCAGTCATTATGTACCACAAATAAGTTTGGAAGTGCTTAGACACAGGACATTCCTGGGACCACTTTCTACCGTACGGTGGCATGTAAGTATCCTCACCGGCTGAAGTGCTAGGCTCACTTTCAGATAACTCTGTAATCAATAGCCTTTATAACGTAATTCTAAAATATGCCACAGGTAAAGATGCAATACAGCTGTGTGGTATTTTTTTCTATACACAGATCAAAAACTGCACTGAACTTTGAGCAGGAAGGGGAGATGGCCAGGCACACTCACAGCGCCTCTCCTGGTACAGGGGCCTGCCAGAGGAAAGTAAGTCTGAATGTGAGAACATCACAACTTAAGTCAATGTTTAAATTGACTAAATATAATGGCTCAGGTTAGGACCCTGTGAACAAATGTGATAGCACAGCCAGGAATAGCACAAAGTGAGCTCTGGTGCAAGAAGGTAAGTGAAGGACACACAAGCTCTGACAACTTTCAATGCTCATCCCTGCCTGGGCCTAGCACCTAGGTGCCTCCAGCCTGCAGACTCCAGATCCGCTTGCACACCTGATGGCAAAGACTTTGCCTGCCACAAGGGGCCAGCCTGTGGTTGGGTTACTTGAAAGTATTCACATTGGTGCACTACCACAGCTCCCAACAGCAACAGAAGCACGGCACTCATACCTATTCCCAAGTATTTCCTCCTTCTTTGTTCAGGATACTTCTCTGTTTCCATCCCAGGTATAAATAAACTTTGCTTTTTTGCATCTTAAAATAAGCACTTTTGTAATGGAATCACATAACTGTTCTTTTAAATCAGGATGAGCCACTTCCCTTGATGAATTTAAAAACAGCAAATATCTTCATTCCCCAAAACCTCACTTGACAACAGTATTCCCAGGAGACTCCAGTGTATGTGAGTTCAGAACAAAGCAATAAACCATAATAATTTACAGTAGAAAAATGTACCTCAAGGCATTCTGGGTGATTGGCAGCAAACAGTTTCCATTCTTCCAGAGAATAATGCTTGTGAATTGCAGTGAACATTGCATGCTAGCAAAAAACCAAGAGAACTGATATTAATGTCCAAGTTAGTAATTTTTCCCTCAGCTGCAAAATAAGGCATTAGAAAACCCCCTTTTAAGTGTAAGCTCATCCCGATTGGAAGAAACAGTAACAGTGAATAACTGACCAGGCAACTATCAACAGCTCTTCAAGAGCAACTTTATGTACTTAGCCAGCCTTTCAGGTCCAGGTTTATGATATGTTTCATTAAGCTACTGTCAGTATTTTGAATGTGACAGAGGCTCATTAACTTAGAAAGTGCTGCAGTTCTATCCTGTAGCCTACACTTGCAAAACTTGTCAGTTAAATTTTTTTTTTCTGGCAGGGAGCACAAAGGGACCTCAATAACTAAGCTCTAAAAGCTCTAACTGAAGCAGAGATACACTCAAGATGGAAGCTTTCCAGTATGGAAGCATCTCCACTGAAACTCTTACACCAGGAGCCTTGTTTGTGGTAACTGTGTTGTAAAAGTACACCTGCTTTTTCTTATTCTGGAGTTTTAAACTCATGTTCCCCTGTTCTCCAACAAACGCAGCTAAAAATCAACAAAGGCTGCTCACTGTCACCCAGCAGCTTCCCAACTGTTGCAGAAATGAGAGCTGACACTTACTTTTGCCATAACCACAGCCATTTCAAATGTCCCCACAGTGTCCATGTTTGCCACTATAATGGGAATTCCTGTGTATGTCTGCTTGGAGTTACGGAAGGTGAAGGTGCGCTTGAGGTCGACCTGCAGTGAACATACACGCATTCTTTTAAGTAACTGATTGTAATATTACACGAGTTTTGCCACAGATTTCAGATACAGCATGTTCAGACACAGCTTCTTGATTTTCCTCACATTTCCTGTTCCTTTTGTTCCGCTATTACATCATTAATTTCTTTTTTTTTTTTTTTTTTTACAATTCTGCCTTCCAAACAATAAAAAAGTTTAAGAGAATGTTTTCTGCATTAAATAGAGCTCTTACTTAAGAAAAAGAATCAAAATTAAACTAAAAAAAAGAAAAGGAACAAGGCAGAAGGGCTTGGAAAGGACAACGAGAACTCTGGTTTATTGTACACAGAAGTAACCTCAGCTGTTTGTACGGCTGTCTGAGAAACTCAAGTTGAAGTCCTAACTCCAAAGAAGTCAGAATTGCAACTCCCTCCATCTCCAGGGCATAGAGGACTTTGTCCCAGTCTTTAAGGTAAATAACAGTATAATGAAGTATGCTCTTTGGTCACAGTTACCAGCCCTCTTGCCATACAATATGAACAATCATACCTTGGCTTGCTAAACCAAGAAGCTGCTAGTTTCTAAGTTAATGTCTTAAAACTGTATCCGCCTTCACCTTCAAAGTTATTTCTTCTTCAGCACCTTCAAATGATCACGGTAACATCAGGCATTTTTTTCCTTACATCTGCAAGAGGTATTATCAAATTAGATCAGTTCCCACTGGCCTACCTAGGATTTTCCTAGCTAGGTGAAAAATGCTCAAAAGGAAAAAAAAAAAAGAAATGCACAACTCTAAGATATTAGTTTAGTGTCTAGTGAAAATGAAAGCTCTTTCAGTTTTCACTAATCCTCACTGCAACTTTAACCCAGTAACATTTGGAGACCTGAACTAAACAGAAATCCATCACGAGAAAGAAAGCAACAGAAAAAAATACAGGATTTTTTACTATTCAATTGAAACACATTTTGAGCACTTCCAAATTGCAGGCTAGATTCTGATTAATATTGTGAGGAATTTATTACTTATTTGTATAAGAAAAAGAACTTGGTGCCTTAGTGGTAAACTGTGAATCATGTTCTCATATAAGCTTGTAGGTGAAGGGTCCCTTTAGTTAACAAGCTAAGATATATCTTAATGGAGACTCGCCCTTCTCCCATTTACTATCAGAGGTCTAATTCTCCAGCCATCACAGATGACAAACCATTCTACCAGGAATTTTAGCTGCAGAACTAACTTTTCTAACATTAGAAAATAGTATGAAGAAGTATGAAACAAGTATGAAATTTTAATTTACTTCACTCTGTCTTAATACAATGTATTAACTAGAACCCAAGGGGAGGGGGGAAACAAGAGTATCCCACGACCAATTCCACAGAGATACCACCACCAGAACCACTGCCCTACAGTTTTAGAAAGGAAAAACATTTCAAAGGAACTTCAGAAAGGAGAAGAGTTATGTTTCAGAAAAGACATCACAATACTGCAAAATAGACAGAAGGCAAGAACCTGCCTTGCAATTTTTTTAGCTCTTCACACCTGTAGCCTCTCCAATATCCCACCACAATAGTACAAATAATGTGTTGCATAAAAACTACAACCTTTGCCTAGTAAATACATTCAATGCTTTTTCTTGTTTTATGAGAGACAATCAACAGCCACTACTCAGTTTCACCTTTTCCATTCCACTCCTCACTTTATGGGCTTTTAGTATATCCTCCACAGCTGCTTCTTCTCCATACTGCATTACCCTGGTAGCTTTAGTTTTTTCCTCATGTGGAAATCAGTCAACACTGCTGATCATACTGGCTGCCATTCCCTCTACCTATTTCAGCAAATGATGCTGTTCCTGTGGACTTACTTAAATTTAAAAAATTTAAACTAACAACTTCCTACAAGACACTTATCCAGTGAACTTGCAATGGCCAAAGTGCATGGGTAAGCACAGCCAAGGCAAGAACAGGCTATGTGAGTACCAAGACCCCAGAGACAGATAATGCTGCTCCCACTCTCATCTTTGCTCTAACCAATTTCTGTATTTGAATTCAAGCATCACATTTTCTGATACCTTTTCAAAAGGAGAAAGCAACCACAGAAAATGAAGACAGTGCAAGGAATCAGAAACAAGTACCAACGTAGCAAACCTATAAGAAGATCTGCAAACATCCCAAACTGCCTCTCTAGGAAGCTGACTTAACTCTAGTCACTGCATAAAAAGCTATCCTTGCACAAAACGAGGCATTCACACCAGAGAAGCAGACGCTTCCTGATATAAGCTTCAAAGCAGCAGCTTGCTGGGTAACAGGCACTGTAGTATGCTGCCTCTGTTCCTCTGCCAGAACTATTTATTTATATTCTTGTTTTGAAGCAGACTGGGGCTGTCCATTTCAGATCTGGCTCTCGCAGACTCTGTTTATCCCCGTTGCCACAGCCTCAGTGATGGTGTTCAATTTCTTAACCTTCATCGGTTTTCACTGACCCCCTCATGACACACACTTTTTCTCATCTGCAATGTTTTAACAGTTCATCAGAGCCACCCGTTACAACCCTGCCATATCAGCTCATGTTCCTCCTATCGTTTTCCCCTCCCAGCAGCCCTTCTTTCCACAGCCTGCACGCTGCTAAATATACAAAACACTGCACTTGAAGGAGCCATGTGCCTGCCACTCACTCGGTGGAGCACAGCTCCACCTGTTTGCCAGGCCGGCACAGTGAATTTTAAGGAGGGATCCATAGGTCTCCAAGCAAGTGGCTCGAAAGTGCCCACAGGTTTTATTTGCAGTAATTGTACCTGATGAGGAGTTACTCAGCCGTGACACAGTTCATCGTAAATTAAAAATTACTTGCCAGAGATCAACTTTCTACTGAGAGAGCCTCTCTGATCTCACACCTTACGATGGCAAAGAAGTTTTGCTTAGTTGTTGCATTCAAAATCCCTGGCCTTAGGCCCACAGTAAACACAGCCTCCCTGTTTCACTTTCCCTTTCTACCTCAGTCTTTCTCTCTTACAGCTCCATACAACTTCCCCTGGAGAAAACCTTAATCCTCTTTTCATCCCCCAAAGCAACATAATTCCTTCTTTAGCCAGCCTAAATCCTTTGTTAACCTTGGGGTTATGTGGGGCAAACGAGAAGGCACCTTCGATCCCGAAGCAGCCATCTTTTTGTGGAGGCAATCGATCCTCACGGGATTGATTTCCTGGGGTTTTTCCCGATCCCTGATGGGAGAGAACTACAGGACTGTTCCGGCTAACAGTGGCCAGCAGGGACACAGAGCCCCAGGGGGACTGCAGGGCTCTGCACACGCAGCTCACACGAGGGTTAAACCCAAGCGAGGGTGAAACGCACCCATCTCCCCAGGTTTGATGTGACTTCCCTTAGTACTCCCTCCCCATGATGGGGGTCCAGCCCGGGGCACCCTGCGCACTGGGAAGCGCAGCCCGGCGTCCTCGCCAGTTTTTATTACAATATTTTTTTTATACATTTTTTTTTAAAGACTACATCAGTTCCTCGGTACCAGCACCGCCCACAGCCCCCCGGGGCTGAGGACAACACCGCCTGTAAGGTGGCATCACCGGCTTCTGCCGGCCCAAGCTGCGGGGCGGGTAACCGGACACCGCTGTCCTGCAGCGCTGCTGGTTCGCCGCCACCGCCCCCTCCGACCCCCGCTCAGCGCCGCAGAGGCACCTGTTAGGAGCAAGCAGCCCCCCACTGCCCCCCTTATATTTCAGCTTGAGGGGCGAGGGAGGCCAGCTCGGCACCGGCCGCCCCCGGCTCCGCCGGGCCCGTGGGGGGGACACGGCGCGGACTTCGCTACCCCGGCCCCGTCCTCCCCTCCCGGGAGCAGCGGCATCCCAGCACCACGCAAAAAGGGCGTCTCGATCGGGGAGGGCATTGCTGCGCTAGACCGGGGAATAAAAATAAAGCGGGGGGGAAGGCGGGTTAAGGAAGTTAAGCGTTGGAGGGGGAGGGGGGAAGCATGCTGGGTTTGGGTGCCCCCACCTCTGCTCTGCTCTTGAGGCTGCTCCTTTTAGGTCTGACCAGGACATCTTTAAAGTCCAGTTTGAGGTCTGCGTCTACCCGGGGCATCTCGCTGGGGTGTCGGGGTGCGGGGACCGGGGCTGTCCTGGCGACGGAGGCGGCGGCAGCGGCGGCCCTGCTGTGCTGGTTGTACCGCCCCGCCTGCAGAGCCGAGCCGAGCCGGCCAAAGCCCGCCAGCCGCGCACCGAGCGTATTTATAGGGCGAGGGCACCAGGCCCCATCGCTTTATTAGGCGAGGGTTGTTTTTAGCCGAGCGGCCGGCCGGCCGGCCCCTGCCCCGTCCCCCGCCGCAGCCACCCCCGCCTCTCCGCCGGGCAGTGTGCGGTGGGGGGCAGACGGGGACGCGTCGCCCGTCCGCAGCCGCCCCGTGCGGGGCGAGGCGCCGGCGGCACCGCGGCGGCCTTAAGGGCGAAGCAAGGGCAGAGGAAATGGCGCCTCCATGTGACCGAGCGGGCCCCGCCGCCGCTGGGACCGGGTGTCGGAGCCCGGCCGTGCCCGGCGGGCGCTGCGGGACTGAACGGACATCTTGGCCTGCTTCCCTCTACCTTCCACCTCCCCGGCCGGGGGTTTGCGGCGTTCTGCAACGCTGTTAGGGCTGCTGCAGCACGGCCCAAATTGCTGTCCCTCTAGCCATATAGAAAAGACACATCTTGGTCTAGCTGGGCTGTCGTGGGAATCCCACTTCCCGGGGTGCTCTGGTCTGAGCCCGAACCCGGCCCCCGGCCTGCCCGGCGCCCGGTAATTCTGAGGGAGAGCTGGGCTCCCCATGGCACTGCAGGGCACAGCAGAGAGCCAGAGTGTGCTTTTGGCGTTAAAGACGTTGAGAAATGTGCAGCTGCTTGGTCACAGGAGAGTGGTCAGGGCAGCAGCCACCTGCAGCTGCCTCGGGAATTTCCGACTTCGCTGCACTTAGAGAAGCAACAGGGAGTTCTTGCTTGGTTGTTTGTTTTTTGTTTGGGGTTTTTTGTTTATTTTTTGTATTTAGATTGGGGTTTTTTTGTTTGTTTTGGGTTTTTTTTGCCCAGCATACAGGAGCCTGATTTGTGACTATTTCCTCCCTTTTCAGTGGTGCTAGCCCACGGTTCAACACGGAGTTCACAAACCACTCAGAGCAGCAGGATTGCACAAGTTGAGTCCATCTACATCTGCTGCCAGAGGGATCAATACAAGGTTACGAGATACCACATGAGATTACTTTCCCAGGAGCTTTGAGCCTTAAAGTCTATTTAATTATGAAGTCAGTGGGTTGCAAGATTTGGACTTCTTCATGAGCTAAGCCCTGTTAGTGACTGGAAAGTGAAGCCTGGGACACTTCCTCAGACACATTGCAGTAGGAGGTAGCGCTCACTCTTCCTTATCTGGAAGATGCATACGTCTGGTCAACACCCTGCATCCCAAAGAGCTCTTTTACACCTCCTTGCCTGAGTGTCCCAGATAATCCAGTATGACCAAGCATGAACCCAGGGTTTTACACAGAAGGCAGAGCATTTGAGGGTTTGCACTTTTGATTGTCTGGGGGAGAGGCCTTGAATCTGGTACTTTGGAACTCCAGATGATGTTCCAAGGGAGCCTTGCCATTGTGGGTATTTCCCATGGAGATTGTCAGGAAAAAGGACTCTTTATAATTAGTTTGATCTGCATAACAGAGGCCATTCATTTGGTATTTTCTCCACAATATAAAGGAACTACTAAAACATATTTTTCAGACAGACATATGTGCCACTATTTACTGTTAAGTAATAAGAGTACTGATGAGAATGGGTCCTGTGGAAGCAGCATGTCTGTAGCAGAGAACTGAGAATGGAAAAAAACAAATGCATTCTGTCTGTGCCTGGCACCATGTCTTCCTTTTGCCCTCATGGCAGGCATGTGATGCTGAGAAGAAAGAAAGAAGCCATTGCCTTGCACTGTGAATTCAAAAGGTCAGCGCAATTTTGAAGAGTAGATTTGGGCTAGCAGTGATATGTGTGAGCCACAGAAAATGCATGCCTGATGCTGCTTAAAATTTCCAGTATTTTAGTCTCTACACACAGAGCTCACAGTGCTATTTTCCTGCAGATCACAGTATCTGCTAATATCCATTAATTCCCCATGAACACATACCAACAGACTAGTCAGGCATCTCAGATCAGCTTGAGTGTTCTTTATAGTTTACAAAGTTTGAAATTCTCCAGTTTCTTAATTCAAGATATATTTTCTGTAATCAAAATTACGTTTTCTTGCTGAATTACCTCTGGTTTTTTTCATTGTCTGAAGTATGGACACCAGAGGGGACACGGTCAATAATTACATTAATATTATAGCCAGAAATGAAGATCGCCTCTTATGTATCTTAGTTATTCCTCTTTATATGCCTGCCATAAGCGATCCCATATTATTTCTTTCTGCTATGGAAAAAAGAGCTGCTCAACCAGGCTGTATACAGTTTAGTCTTCAAGTGCAAATGAGCCATCACTGATTTCAAATTTAGCATATGTAAATGATTTGTTACTTTCCTTCAGAGTTCTTTTTTTCTCTGCTTCATTGTTTTATATTTATACTTAAAAGCAGATGGAACAGTGCACTCAGAAGAGAATTGCTTAGCCACTGTAGCTGAAAAGACCAATGCCAATGTAGATTTGTAGGTCTTCTAAAAGTTTTCTAAACTTGGTGTTTTTGAGAAGAGGAAAAAGTGATCATTATAATGCAAATAGTTACTATTGCATCTAAAGCCTATTATTAGCTAAGATTTTTGACCTTATGCTTTTCATCCTGCTATTGTAATTGTAAATACTGTTGTATGTAATAGTACAAATTAGTTAACAAATCTGACCTGGTAACAAAGGATGTGGAAGAGGCTGAGGTACTCATTGGCATCTTCACCTTGGTTTTCACTGGTAAGATTTTTCTCAGGATTCCCAGGCCCCTGAGACACATCAGAAAATCAGGAGTAGCGAAGACACCATCATAAGAACAGGATCAGATTGGGAGGGGGAAGTTCTGAGGACTAGGAAAAGCAAATGTCAGTCCTGTCTTTGAGAAGAGCAAGAAGGAAGCATGATGTGGGCTAGTCAGCTTCATTTCAATGCCTGAGAAGATGGTGGAGCAAATAATCCTGGAAATAATTTTAAAATGAATGAAGGACAAGAAAGACTGAAGGTAGTTGGTGTGAATTTATGATAATAAAATCATGCTCAGCACACTTTCTAAGATGAAATTACTTGTTCAGTGAATTAGGAAAAAGCAATTCATCTTGTTTATTTTGACTTAGGCTTTTGACAAATTCCAAGTAACATTTTTGTAGGCAAACTGATGAGGTGTGGACTAGGTAAAAGGATGTTGAAGTGGATTGAAAACAGACTGAACTTTGGGCTCAAAGGCTTGTGATTGGTGACATTAAGTACAGCTGGAGCCCAGCTATTTGTGGTGCACCAGGTTAATTACATATGGCATTAAAAACACTTTTATCAATGTCTAGTATTTTTCTTATTTAAATAAGAGCACTTCCTCAGTAACTCCGTGGTACTGAAAGAAGAATTCAGTGACAACCTGAAAGTATGAACACTTATGAGCACCCAAAACACCTAGGTGATTGTAGGGTGAATGCTTAATGATGTTGCCATTATTTGTTGTCAAGAGAAATTCTGGTCACAGCAGATAGACAGCTAACACAACAGAAAGCACATGCCAACTTGCTGTGGTTCCCAGGAAAATACTATAGCCTCATATAGCTCCATGCAGACAGCCTGTAACATAATTAGCATGCCTGTTTAAGAAGTGTGGTGAGCCCTAGCAAAAGCATTGCTCAGCTGGCAAGTGCTCCCACAAACTGTGTGTCACAACTTCCCAGCAAAATCCCATATCTGGAAAGAACAACATGCTGCAGGACATGTGTGATGAAGATCTTTCACTCTTAAGGAGAAGCAGTACTTTTGAGGAAAGAGCCTTGTTTTTCTTATGAGTAATGTAAATCCCTTTTATTATTCTATTTGAGTTTGGGTCTTGTCTATGCTGAACAGCATTTCCCACTGGATGGATCAAGAAACATAACTCAGCAAACCCTGCAAATGCAAGCAGATTTCCTTTCGTAGTGGAGATAAGGGTGTTTCTCTGAACTATCAGTATTATTACAGCATCTACATTAAGGCTTTTGCTGACCTTGATAGCCACCAGAAATGGGAGGGGTGGGGCTGACACCCCTGCCTTTCATGTGTACCAAGCAGACTTCCAACTATGTGCATGAAGATCACTTGTTATGAAGAAACTTGTATGCTGTAAGTATTTTCATTTAAATTCAAAGGTCTTAGAGAAAAAATAATCTTAGTTGCTAATCATCAATTAAATCCCAGGTCTACACTGAAGCCAGTAGGACAGCTTCTCGTTCAAGGTACAGTTTACTTAGGAGTAAGTGACAGTATCCATTGCCATTTGATTTCAGCAGGTTTCAAGTGTTAATTGTAAGTAATCACAGCAATCTATAATTAATGCAACGCTGACCTTCCTTGGCTTATGAAATATGCTTAGAGCCTGTCTGTGCTGATAAGTAAAATGGACCACGCCAGTCTGTCCCTGCAAGGCAAGAGACAGAGTGTGGCTCACACGTAGCTGTTTAGATGCCATATGTGAGCTTCAAGGGGTCTCAGTCAAACTGCGTATTGGAAACAGTTTGATGCTGTTCCCCAAACTGTCCTCAAACTACCTGGAGGAGTGGTAGCTGTCCAGGTTGTTCAAGGCACTGAGATTCTAATTAAAGAGTGGGGGCTATTGCATTGTAGAGCTTGTAGCTGGGTCCATGCTCAGGTCCAGTCTGGTTTACTATTGGACTTTACTGGCACAAAGTGGTTTGTAGATTTTTAAAAAATGGTCAAAACCTGTTGTATACTCTCCATTGTGAACTGATACTTCTGTTCATTACAGAATTACAGTTCTACATACTGTAAAAGGCAGTGAGATTCCCTCTGTGGAAATCTCACAGGATGTAACAGGTATTCTGTTGCTGCTACATAACTTTACATAAGGAGCCATCCACTCCTTAGCAGTGCCCACTGATAGAACAAGAGAAATGGTCACAAGGTGAAACCCAAGAAATTATATCTGAACTTTAGAAAGCACTTTTTTTTTTTCCTGTGAGTGTGGACTACATGATCTTGAAAGGTCTCTACCAACCTCAGCCACTCTGTGGTTTAGTGGTTCCGTACATTACTTTGTCATTGCGGAGTATCTTTCTCTGCAAGATCTCAAGGGCCTTTAAAAAAACCAGATAATTACATAGTTTATTTGGTGGTCATTTGATAGTCAAA